CTCCTACACAATGCCCCTTCACCTTTTATGTCCAGACCCACATGAAACAGATGTCTGCAGAACACTGGGGTAAGCAAATGGGCTGCCCTGGTGTGTCAGCCCCAGTTCCTAGCCAGGAAGGAGTCCCTGGGGATTGTGAGGGATTTGAGGAGTCCTCAGTTCCATTCATATTTGGAAACTCAGTCCACCTGGGGACAATATTGCCTGGCAGGTAGGAACTCGGTAAATACTTACAGTATGTGCTGAATTGACTCAGTAGCAGTTTGAAAGGGAAGAGGTAGGTATATTACTATTTTTTAATGTCCATTGGTATTTTGCCTGCATTTATACCTGTGTAAGAGTGTCAGATTCCCTGGAACTAGAGTTACAGACAGTTGTGAGTTGCCATGTCAGTCCTGGAAATTGAACCCAGGTCCACTGGAAGAGCAACCAGTGCTCTTAACTGCTGAGCCGTCTCTCCAGCCCCAATGTTTGGTAAAGTTTTAATATGTAAATTTTAAGGAATATATTTGTATCAGCAGTTTTTAAGCCTAGTTACATGTTAGAACACTTAGGAGGAGGAGTTTTAAAAATCCCAAATGATTCTTATGTCACCAAACTGGAATGCTGCCTGGGTGATAGTTTTGTGTTTGTTGTTTAGGGAAACAAATCTTGGATTTAGAGTTCAAATTGGTATGCTTTTGAAACATCCCTTTTTTGCTTGTTTCCTGAATTGCTCTGAGAATGAGCCGCTGAGCTAGTGCCCAGGCAGGCACATGCAGCCCTATCTCCAATGCTGTAGTGTTTTTTGACAGACAGAACATTCATTCTCCTGTACTCCTGAAATGTGACCACCAGAAGCAAAGATCTAACCCTGCACAGTGGTTCTCCAGAGGTTAAGACAGGAGAGTCTTGAGGCCAGTCTGAACTACACAGCGAGTCTAAGACAGCCTGGGCTGCCACAGTGAGACCCTGCCTCAAAATAAACCAAAACAAAATAGAGTCAATATTGGTTCCTTACTGCCACTGACTCTTCAGGCCCCACTGAAGGCATCTTCATCCCACTATTGTCTCCTAGTTGCAACTTTTTGAGCCTTTGTAGCAGAAAGACTACCTGGTGGTTTTGGGGCCATCTCCTTAGTTTCCCCTTTACTCACAGCAGGTTTTCAAGCTTTCCCTGACTTTGACCTGGGAAGCTTTCAAACCATTTATTTTGTAGTTTGCCTCTTACCTTTCATGGTACAATTGTCTGATAGGTCCCCAGTAAATCCTCATGATGACAACAGAAGATAGATTACTTGATTGAGGGGCTCTTCCCCTTCAAAATGAAAAGTTGTTTTTTGTTTTTCAAGACAGGGTTTCTCTGTAGACCAGGGTGGCCTTGAACTCACAGAGATCCGCCTGCCTCTGCCTCCCTAGTACTGATTAAGGTGTGTGCCACCACAGCACACAGTATTTTGTGTGTAAGTTTTAAAAACTCTTTGAATGTTCCATTTCCCTCTCTCATAATTTATTCATTTCTTATTTCTCCTTTTGGCCTTTGTGTTTTACTAATTTATATAATGATTTATAGCCTCATCTAGCAATATTTACAATGATCTTATGTCACCCCAGATAGTAGAGTCCCCTTCAGACTGTCTTCTAATTTAAAAACTCCTACTTTGTGGCATGCAGTCTGTTTTCATATTTAACTTTACTGGACTGATCCCCTCAATTAGTGTTTTGGTCCCCTCCTCCCAAATAACTGATTCTTTTAGTAAAGAATGGTAATTAAAAGCTGCAAGTCTGTATGCTAAATTGGGTTTGATTGCTGCTAGCTTAGCTCTAGTTTCAATAGGATTCATTGTCACAGGAAATAAGGTGGATCGTGACCATCTGAATACCCAAAGCCTTCCTCTGGCCTGCACACATGCTAGCTAGATAGGCTGTTAGTATTTGAGTATTGCACAGTTACAGATATGGGAAGGGAGAGAGACTAAGCACATAGGCAGTTTCATGTATATGTTATGTCTGTGTTTATTGAAATAGTGAGTGCTTGTTGGTTACCAATTTAAATCCAACTCCATGTGTTTGTTTTTTTTTTCTCCTTTGCATTTTTCTAGCTCCTTTTTTTGAGGTTTGAGAAACCTGGATGCTGTGATCCTACTACCCTACTTTCTTGTCACCCTTCTGTGTGCTAGTGCCTTCCCATTGCCATTGGAGTGGGTGTCCTCCTTGCTCTCCTTGGGCTCTGAGTCAGCACAGGGATCTTTAGAGCTCCCCAAATGATATTTCTTATAGATAGTGAACAACTGAATTAAGAGGCGAGTCCCACGGGGTTTGGTTCAAGCAAGTCAGTGGTGGCCTTTTAAATATAGTTTGGCAAAGTAAAAATTCCCTAAGAAGGTAAAAGGTAAGGAGAAGACTTAAATTCTACCAAGATGCTGTTGAAAAACAAAAAGTCAGGGAGAAAGCAAAGCTTGCCTCCTAGAAAGCTTTGAAAAGTATTTGCTTTGGAAAGAAGTATCCTTTAGTGTGCATGAATTTCATTCTCTTCCCTGAATTACTTGTTTATAGGAAAGAAATTGAAAACGTTAGTTGTTTCTTGAGAATGTATCTTGTTAAAAACCTTTTTTGGTGTGACATTTTTAATATAAATTTAATTTTGGAAATTTTAGACTTAGAAAAAACTGACAACTTGCTTTTTAAGCAGGAGATGTTTGAACCGTGTTCCTCTTCTGTAAGCAGTTTCATTATACAATGTGGGAATTAAGTTGTAGTAACAAAGACTCTCATCCTCTCCTGCTCCATGAGAGGCAGCACAGCATCCCTAAAGTTGACTGTGGTCAACCCCTTTAGATGGCCAACACCCATCTGTCCCACTTTGTTTTCCTTTTAAGAAACTTACTATAATCTGATGCACATAGATGCCTTTTCTGCATATATGTCTGTGCATTATGTGAGTGCCTGGTGTCCATGAAGGCCAGAAAAGGGCATTGGTTATGACCTGTCATATGGGTGCTCATGTCCTCTGTGAAAAGCAACTAGTGCTTTTAACCTCTGAATGGTCCTCTCTCCAGCCCTAGCCAAATTGTGCTGCTGCAAACTTACATGCATAGTACATATGCTCCCAGTTAGGGAAGACCATCATTGGACCTAAGGGAGCTCAAAAGAAGTTTGCCTTTGATTGCATTTTCATATGAAAGTTACATTTGAAGTTTGAGTTTTGCATATAAAACTTTTGTGCATTTATGCCCAGGAGTGTAGGAGAAAAAAGTCTGATAATTTGTATATGTGGATTCAGTGGCAGTTTAACAGGAAAGTAAATGATTTTTTAAATAATGTTTTGTGGATTTTTTGTTTGTTTTTGACAAAGCGTCCCTGTTTAGCCGTTGCTAGTTTATAACTCAGCAATCCTCCTCACTCTTTCCCAGAGTATCCCACATGCTGGAGTTGCCCACTGCCATGTCTGGTGTAGGAAATTCTTGTTTTCTTTGGGAAAATACTGATTGTCTGTTCATAAGTGGCCATGTTAGTTCTTGCCCATTTGCTTTGTGTAGCTGAGTGTTTTTGACTAGATCCACTGTCTTCCCTAGACCCTAGTCCCTCTGGAACCATTTTATGGGTTTACCACTTGCAACACTATTAGTTCCTTGTTTCTTAGTCTAGATGATGTCTGTGAAGCCATCATCTGAGTTAATGTGTTATTATTTAAAATCCTAACTGCCATAGGCTGTGTCTGTTCCCTGCTGTGGGGAACTCCCCACAGCCAGATCTTTCCCCACCAAGGTTCAATAAGCTGTCTAGGGCTTGTTGCCCAGTGGGAACTCTCTAGTTGAGGTTATCTTCTTGGTGTGTTGGCCTTTTTTTCTCAGTAGATACATAGAATGAAAGCTGTTGGGGATTAGAATAAATGTTACATTTCAAAGTTACTTTGGATTTGCAATATAAATTGTATAGTCTTAAGATTTAGCACAATTCCTCAACTGGAGGTGTATTAGTATGCATTTTGTTTGTTGTTTGTTTTTCTGCTGATTGGAACAGATTCACTTGATTTGTGTTCATAGGAAAATGATACAGCTATCAACCCACTTTGATTTCTAGGACTCTTAGAAACGCATATAGTGAGATGTGATCTGAACTCCCCAGCACTTATGTTTTCTTTTGGTGTTGGGGGGGGGTGTTGACACAGGGTTTTTCTATGTAGCTCTGGGTATCCTGGAACTCACTCTATAGACGTCGAACTCACAGAGATCTGCCTCCCAAATGCTGGGATTAAAGGCATGTATGTGCCACTGCTGCCGCCACCACCCTATCCATTTATGTTTTAGGAAAGAAATTTAAAAAAAAAACAGGCAAGTGGTGCATACCTGTAATCCCAACTCTAGGGCAGGGGATTAGGGTTCAGAGGTCAGTAGATTCCTAGAACTTGTCAGCCACCCAGTCTACTAAAAATAGCAAGCTCTAGGTTCAGTGAGGTGGAGGGGCTAGATGGATGGCTCAGAGTACTTGCTGCTCTTCCAGAGGACCCAGGTCAATTCCTAGCACTCAGTGGTGGTTCACAGCCTTCTGTAACTCCTGAGATCCCATGCCCTCTTCTGGCCTCCTCAGGTACCAGCACACATATAGTATAGACAAAACACCCATAGCCCTAAAATTAAATGAAATGAAAACAAAACAAAACAAAAAGGTAGAGTGATGGAGGAAGAAACCCAAAATCTATTATAAGCCATCTATGTATTATATTTAAAACAAACCCACTACTAAGTAAAAGCACATTAATATACTATATATGTTATAGTATATTAATATATGTATATGTGTCTGTATATACAGATACTATAGAAATGCTTGTAGGCCTCTCTGAAACCAAGCCTAATATAATGGATGTTTTATGAAAGGGATAGCAAGCCATGACATGGGGATACCCAAAGGGTATGAGTTTTATGTGTCCTTTTGGTTTAGTAAGGTATTAGTACTATGATCTTTGCTACAGAAGTGGTATGTAGATGTGCCTTTACAATGTATTACTTCTTTTACAGAGAGAAGGAGCAAGAAAGGGAAGAACAGTTAATGGAAGACAAGAAAAGGAAGAAAGAGGATAAAAAGAAAAAAGAAGCCACCCAGAAGGTGAGTTGGACATTTAGGTCTGTCTTTATATTTGCCGAGCATCCATAATTAGTGACCTCCTTACTTGAATACTTGATACTATAATGCTGCCAAGACATTAGTTTGTTTGAAAGTTTAAAAATTTGAAAGTAGAAAAATGTTTGAGGCTTATACATATTACTATGTAGTGGGTGATAAATAATACTGCAGCTTACTGTATGAAACATTAGTAAACAATATTAAAGTCTCAACTTGTGTTTCATTAGCTGAATCATAATTTAGCATCCATCTTCTCTCCAGGATTATAAACACTTTTTTTGTTGTTGTTTTTTGAGACAGGGTTCTGCCTCTGTCTCCTGAGTGCTGGAACTAAAGGTGTGCACCACCACCACCCAGCTAGACAAACTTTTTAAAACTTGCATGAGTATGCCCTAATTTATTTATTTGTTATTTTTGCCTACCAGTGGCACTGTAGTTTAAGAAAATTTGCTTTATAATGATGATGTCAGTAAACTGCCCTTAGATTTTAGTAGGTCAGGCATGGGGCATATTGGGGGACAGGAAGATGCTCAATTTGAGCTTGTCCTGGGCTACATAGCAAGTTCTAGATCAGCCTGAGCTGAGATAAACGGTATCTTGCACAGTGCCTTGAGGGACAGAGCATTACATAGCTATGAGGAATGTGCTTGGAGAAAAAAGAGATACTAAGTGAAAAGGCAGAGCTGACGGCTGTCAGGTCTCTGAAAACTGTTTGTCTGATGGACCTGTTGGGAGCAGAGAATAGTTAGAATGCCTTGACAGCCACAGCCATTTACTTCAGAGCATTGCTCCTGTCTTTGCCTGGCCAGCTTTTCCCTGCTTCCCTGTTCCTGAAGTACCGTGTAACGTGGGCTCTACCTCTGCAGGGTTGCTGTGGTGCTTTTTCTGGAGACAAGATTTACTGGCTCTTGTATGGTTACGTGGAGATTTGGGAAGCAGGGCCTTCTTGCAGTCAGGCAGCACTGGCTTTCAAGCTAAGTTTGTGGAGGTATAAACTGTTAGAGGTTCAGAGAGAACTAGTTCAGCAGTAAAGGCCGTCAGACCTACTGTGAAGCAGAAGGGCCACACCGCAGGTTTTCCCAGCATCGCTTAATATGTGTGCCCTACCATTTCATTATTTAAAGTAATATTTAAAAGAACAGTCTATTATTTAGTGCTGTATCGGATTGCTGTGATTTAAATTTTTGTCAGCTTTTAATGGTATTTCTGTCATGTTGATAGTGGTGCGTCTTCTGTCGTGTCTTTATGCTCTCAGAGTACTTACTTCCAGTCTTAGCCTATTAGAGTTGCCTGCAGTTCTAGAATATAAATTAAAAAGGCAGATAATGAGCCTGGTGTGATAATGTACACCTATAATCCCACCATTTAGAAGGTGGAGGCAAAATGATTAGAAATTGAAGGTTTTCTTCAGCTACATGATGAGTTAGTTCTATGTCAAGTGGTCTACCTAAAACTATCTCACAAAAGAGGGAGGGAAGTAGGCCTTTTTATTTCCCTGTCTGTGCACTAGAGCTAGCATATTGGTCCTGCTGCCCCACGGCCTTTGAGCTCCTGCCCTGTGCCTCGCTGACACCTCCCCCCAAAAAGACCATAAACAAACAAACCTCAAGTAGAATAATGAGAGACTGAACTTAGAACTTTTCCTTTCAGGTCTCACATTTCATCTACTAAATTGGTATACAGATTCACAGTCTATGGGAATGGAGTTAATAGGCTGAACACCAAGGGCCTGAGCAGGGGTTATTGATTAGATGACAAGTAAAGAGTGACTGTTCCAGACAGAATGTAGTCCATCTTCATTCTTAATATAGACTAGGCTTTGTTGCATTAAAAATATTAATGTCTCAGACTGGGGAGATGTATCAACTGTTAAGAGCACTGGCTGTTTTTCCAAAGGACCCAGGTTCAATTCCCAGCACCCACATGGCAGGTCACAACTGTCTGTAACTCCAGTTCCAGGGGATCTAACACCCTCATAGAGAGATACATGCAGGCAATAAAACACTAGGTGGGAAAGAAACTCTACACACATGAAATGAAAATAAATAAAAATATTAATGTCTCATGTCTGTAAATCAAATATGCCTCTGCAGACTTTTACTATGTGTTCTACAAATAGGAAATAAAGGAGAATCTGGCTACAATGGAAAGTGAGTTAGGATTGTTTGTGCAAAGTATGTAGTTTATACAGCCAAACAATCTTCCCCAAGTGCCTGCATCTGCATTGGAGACTGATTATGAAATATTGATGGGTTGGAGAGATGGCTAAGTGGTTAGGAACACTGCTGTTCTTCCAAAGGACGCAGGTTCAATTCCCAGCACCCATATGGCAGCTCACAACTGTCTGTAACTCCTGTTTCAGGAGGTCTGATGCCCTCATACAGACATACTTACAAGCAAAATACCAATGTATATAAAACAAAAATAAAGAAATAATGACAAAAAGAGTAATCAGCTTAAATTTTCAAGGGATTAATTTATGACTAATATATAAGTTCAGTCATTTTTGTTGGTCATGATGATGCCTGCCTATATATAATCCCAATTTTTGGGTGTGGACAAGAGGATTGGAAAGAAGTTCAAGGTCAGCCAAGGATGCAAAAAAAGTAAAAGGAAAGAAAAGACAGTTTTCTGTTCAGAAACATTCTAGATTAGCTTAGATTAGCTAACGAAGTCTAGGCTGACACTGGATGGTACTTTGTCTTTTACAACGTTTTGTTATGCTTGAGCCACTGTATAATTTTAGAATTAAATTCCAATTTATCAATTTCAAAGAAAGAACACAAATTTTACCATGTAATTGTCTTAGTGGACCCAGCATTATTATAAAGACAGCTAGAAGGCATAAAATGTACTGTGGTAGAAAGAGTTGTAGAGAATGTACCAGAAGTTCTGTTCTTGTTTTCTTCATTGTTGTGTAACCACCTCTTTGTGTCTGTCTTCCCCATTAAGCTGGGAAATCAACAGCATCCATGTTTGTTGAGTGAGTGAAGGCTCATGAATGGATGATGGTGGGCTGACTGTCTAACTTGGTGAAAGAGTGTTCTGAGTCCAGTCCTCAGCACTGGAGGGAGAAAAAGAAAGAGTGATGCCAGTGTAACTTTATTAAAACATTGACTTTCATTTAGGGCTAAAATTAAATTTCTTCCACACAGAAATTAAACATGAACCCCTTTCCACTGTATTCAGTGGCAGTTTACTCTTTCCAGAACCATCCCTGAGTAAACCATATTAAATTGCCATTCATGAGAGAGGTGTAAAGAAGGACTCCATTCATTCATTAGGCTGACACTGCAAAAGAAGCATTGTGTAATGTTGGCAGGACTTGGATTCTGACTGTCCAGCTTTTTACCATCTGAGAATTGGCTGTTGTAGCAGCACCCACATTATAAGACATTCAACATGATTTAGATTTGTTACTTATAATTGGGGAAAGTATTGACTTTTATACAACTGATCTTCAAAGTGGCATTCTAAGAAATAGTTACTGCAATGGAGTAAAACCTAAATTGCTGTCAGGAGTTGGTATGTAGATCAAACCCATTCATTCTTGAGTGACTGGGGACTATAGAAAAATGTACAAGGGCTTTTCACTAGAGTGGAGCCTGAGCAATTAGCAGTGGGGAGCAGGTTCATTTTAAGGCACTTTTCCACAGAGTTCAGTATAGTGCAGTTAGCCTATCCTTTAATGCAACAATGTAAGAAGCACTCTAGGGAGTCCTAAGAATAGATTGCTTAGGTCAGACTCAGAGTCTAAGTGTGCTAGGATCTGTTTTGAGGACTACTTACCTACAGAACATGCACTCCACAGATAACCATGTTTTCACAAATGGCAGTAATCCAGAATGATTACCACACATGTCTTTTGAAAATAATGATAGCATTCATTTAATTACATTTTGGATAATATATTGAAAGTATATAAAACAATGGCTATATAAAAGGCTGTGTGTGTGTGTGTGTGTATGTATGTGTGTGTGTGTATTTGTTTCAAGACAGGGTTTCTCTATATTGCTTTGGAATTCATTCTGTAGACTAGGCTGGCCTCTAACTCACAGAGATCTATCTGCCTCTGGTGGGATTAAAGGTGTGTGCCACCAACACCCAGCTATAAAAAGGCGCTTTTATATATGAGTTTATTTCTCAACATATTTTTGTTCATATTTTTATTGTTTTGTGAATTACATACATACATATACACACATACAAACAATATATATTTGACTATATTTACTCCTCCCATTCCTCCCCCAACTCCTCAGATTCACCCCACTGCCAATTCCCAATATCCTATCTTCATTTTTTTATATACACAAGATTGTAATTTGTGCTGCTCATATAGTCAAGGGTGTGGGACCATCTACTTCTGTGCCCAGGAAAGCCATCCCAAGGGCCTCACCTTTAACGTTACTCTGCCTCAGAAGCCATCAATTGGCAGTAGGTCCTCAGCTAGAGGTGTGGCTTCCAAAACCCCTCCCCCCTTCATGCTAGATTGTTAACTGGGTTGATTTTGTGTGAGTCTTTTCTAACTGCTGTGAATTCATAAGTGCAGTGGTTCTGTCAGGTCCAGAACTGTTTTGTTCCTCCCATCTTCTAGTTTACTGTCTTTCTGCTCCCTCTTCCTCTGTGGTTCCTGAGTCTTGGGGCATAGCATTCATTTTTAATAACTCTTCCTACAAAGTCTGATGGTCAATGTAAAAGTGCTTTAGCAGATTGACAGTTTGGAAAAGTGGGTCAGATATTGTCTTAACAATGTAACAGATCTATGGCTAGGAATCCTGCCTACTTGCTTTGGAATGCTTTTCTTTTGTGGTTTTGCTTTTATATTATAGGGAGTATATGATGAGTGTCCCTGTGTCATTGCACCCTGTAGCAATATCAGAAGCAGTTTCCATCTGTCTTCTAAAGATTTTCACACACACATATCCCTAAGCCCATTACTGTATTTAGCTACCCATCAATTTAGGCTTTTTCATCGAGTTTTATTACTTAAAGTACTTTTAACAAAGCATTCATAGAATTTTGTTCAAAATTTGCACAATTCAGCCTTATATTCTGCTTTATAACTTGTATGATGGTAGCAGATATCAACTGAACATTGGCATGGCTATCTGATATAACCCTTTACCAAAACCCTGAATGGGGGCGGGCGGGGGTAGGGGTGATGATTGTATTTAAACCAGATAAATGGGTAATGGAGATTATGTAGCTTGGTTTTCAAATCTTCCTTTGCAACCATGATTCCTGCTTTCAGGATGAGCACCTCATGCTTTTTCAGTTTGAGCTCAAAGTATTTGAGTTCATACTCAGGAGGGAATTTTTTTTGTGAGTTTAGTTTCTGGCCATAGCTGTTTGATTTTCTGAAATTAGAGGAATCAGAATGGCTAACTATTCCCAATACAGAGACTATATCATTTAGTAGATAGAATGTTTTGTTTGTTTTTTTTTCAAGTTGGATTTTGTTTTTGTTTGTTTGTTTTTTGTTGTTTGTTTGTTTTTGTTTTTCGAGACAAGGTTTCTCTGTATTGTTTGGAGACTGTCCTGGAACTCGCTCTGTAGACCAGGCTGGCTTCAAACTCAGAGATCTGCCTGCCTCTGCCTCCCGAGTGCTGGGGGATTACAGGCGTGTGCCACCAACGCCCGGCTAGTTTTTTTGCTTTTTGATTTTTTAGTGTGTTTGTTTGTTTTAAATTTAGATTTCTTCCTAATCTTAGTTGTGTGAGTACGGCTAGACATATGAACATAACTTCTAGACAGATGTCCAAATTGACTCACAGCTGTTTTGGATTTCAAGTAAGCCTGGGTACTGTGTATCCTGACAACTTGAATTGCCTGAGTTAATGGAATTAAAATGTTCGTATAATATAGTACTGAATTTAAAAGCAAATTTTATTTACTTACATCTGTTATTGGTTTTGCAGGTCACGGAACAAAAAACCAAAGGTAAGATTTTTATCCTCTTTTTGTGTTTAGGTTTCACAGAACTGCTGACTCAGCCTGCAGTGCATTCAGCAGAGAGTGGGTGCACAGTAATTAAGGTGGGTTGTTTGCAGCCACTGAAGAGAACAGTAATGACAAATTAAAAACACTTAGAATTGTGTTTTTAGTTGGCCTTACATTTTTAGGAAGCAGAAGAGTAAATAACTTTGTTTTAAAACTGTGTGAATCATGATTTTGAACTGAACTCTTTCAGAACTTTTAGTAGAACAGTAACAAACTGCCAACTCCTAGTTTCAGATGGGAATTGCAGAGTGTACTTACTCATCTTGGTACATGGAATGCATCAAGTCTGAAACTGGAATGTCAAATCTAAAATGTTCACAGCCTTCTGAACTGGGGTCTGGACTGTGTTTTTTGTATGTTTGTTTGTTTGTTTTTTGATATCAAATTTTGAGTAAGTTAACTTTGCTCTAAAAAACTGATGTGTTGCAAACAGAAGGAAGTGACCCTTAGGTCATTCTCAGTCCAATACTGTCCTTTTCTGTGTTTTTTTTTTCTGCTTTCCTACTTGTAATTATGTAGGCTTTTTGTTTGTTTGTTTTATTGTTTTTTGATGGACTGTGAATTAGCAGGCCTTAAGAGTGGGAGAGAAAATTCCTTGAGATAATGCTTACTTTTGAGCACTTAAACATGTGCTTCTCAATTGGGTGTGCATTAGAATAGTTTACAGAGTCATCAAAATATAAGCATCTAGGCTGCTGCCAGATGTTGGCATATCTAGGCTGGAGCCCTTGTAGATGTACCTTGAAGTGTCCATGAAGCCTCAGAACATGGAAACCATTGCCTTGAATTAAAAAAAAAAAAATCAGGTAAAGGGTTTGATGAGAGTGCCTTAAGTGAAAGGCGGTTTGGGTGATTTGGTTTGATTTGGCTGGTTTTGTGACTAACAGGCCAAAGCGTGTCATTTGGTGATGGAAGGACAAATAAAAGTGGTCCATCTTCATAGGTGTTTTATCTAAATATGGCTTTCTTGGAAACCTAATTATGAAAAATAAATTCTCAAATAAGTACATATTAATGTATTATATTTCTCTTTTTTTTTTTTTTTTTTTTTTTTTTTTTGGTTTTACGAGACAGGGTTTCTCTGTTTTGGAGGCTGTCGGTCCAGCCTGGCCTCGAACTCACAGAGATCCGCCTGCCTCTGCCTCCCGAGTGCTGGGATTAAAGGTGTGTGCCACCAACACCCAGCTTAATGTATTATATTTCTAATCAAAGGTTTATCAAAGAAGACTGTCCTGGGACTTTATACTGATTTAGAAAGTAAATTGTGAAAAACTGTTGTTATAATTATCTTAATTGGTTAAGGATAATGTTCTTCCCCTTGTCTAATTCAGCCAGTACCCAAACCACAAATAGGCTTTCTTCTAGAAAAATCCATCAAATAATTTTTCCCTAAGCCTATTTAGAAGTATACTTTGTGAATGGACTTGGGAAACTAAATATTTATCAGACTTGGGGGTGGATCCACTATATATCTATAGCTAATCTGGCTCTCGTGGTGTTGATCAAGCTGGCCTTAACCTTACAATGATCCTCCTGCCTCTGCCTCCTGAGTGCTAGGATTATAAGCGCATGCTACTGGCCTACTAAAGGACTTTTGCAGTGGGCATTGGGTGAGAATATTGGTGTTTCTTAAGCCAGGCTCTGTGTTGGTAAAATGTAAAGAATATGGTAGAACTTGGGTTCCTAAGCCGGGCCACTTAAGCCAGCTTCTGCTTCTAGTCTATAGAAAACAAAGCCCACAGGCAGTTTTTCTCCAGATGGTAATAACAATACCAGGTCTGTTCACGTGCGTGCACGCGCACACGCACACAGACACACACACAGTTCTCTCTTCTGCCAAAGGTTTTTTTTTTTTTCTCGGTTTTTCGGTATTGTTTTAGAGGCTGTCCTGGAACTCATTCTGTAGACCAGGCTGGCCTCAAACTCACAGAGATCTGCCTGCCTCTGCCTCCCGAGTGCTGGGATTAAAGGCATGCACCACCAATACCCGGCTCTGCCAACGTTTTAAAAATCAAACTTTCTTTCCTGCCTATGTCCTTCTCCTTGGGTCTTTTTCATACCTACTATAGATGAAACATACTTCCCTGTCTCCTTATTCTTCCTACTCCCTCAATCAGAAAATCACATTATCCTAAAGGGAGGGAGATGAGGCCAACTTGGGTCTCTAAGGGATTTAATTGTTGGAACCAGGGAAAAGACAGGAAGTTTTAAAAGGCACATACATACGTACATACGTACGTACATTTCTATTTCTATTTGAGGTATGTCAGACTCACCAGCCTTGCTAGGTTTGTTCCAGTTCATGGTCAAGTCTTTGTCTTCATTGGACATTCTCCACCTCGTTCTTTTCCCTGAGCTGACATTTCTGGTTCCTGTTCCTCTCCCCACTGACATTCATCTTCTTAACTGATCTGCCCTTAACTATGAATCTACTCTTCCCCAGCAGAGAAAAAAGAAAAGACTGTGTTGGTGCCAAGTCTTGAGTTGTACAAGGACTGAAGTAAGATTTTTCTGTATTTCAGAAAAACAGTGGATTGGTTATATGTTCTTCCTTTATCTTCTACTGTGAGAATCCCAGAGAGGAGAGTAGGACAGGGACTTCAGTTAGTTCTCTGAGGGCACGAGCCAGCTGTGCCTACTTAGCTAAAAGGAAGAAAAAGCACTTAGGCAAAAATTTAGTTTCTCTTTTGTAGATATTAGACAGAAGCAAAACAGTTCCTAAAATTAGGCACTAGGTCAGATTTAACTAGATGAAATTTAACAGGAAAAAGGGTAAGGCTAGGGTTAAAAGCCCAATTGCACGAACTACATAATGGCAGAATTTGGCCATAACAATTTAACCTTCTTAAAGGGTGTTAGAGGATGATGATTGCATTAATGAGAGCTATCAGTATGGAATGAAATGGCTGGTTTGTAAAAACTAGCATGACCTTTAGCTGCTACAAAGTATCCAGAGTGGGAATTGCAGGTCTATAGACATCAGTATGGAAGGGGAAGCCTCCATGGGCCATGTACAGTTTGGCCAAGAAAATGATCACTTCATACAGATTTGATTATGTGTGGTTGTTTAGCTCTCATGTCTTCCTAACTGGGAACCCTCAGGTAGGGCTCTGGTGGCTAGAATGGAACATATCCATAGTAAATATCGAGGTTTATTTTGACCCCAGAAATACTAAGCATGAGTCAAAGAAGTGGGAGCAAGCTTCATGCTCAGTGTGCCAGTTTTTAGATACTGTGGTTCAAAGCATTAAATCATAACCTTAACCTTGCCCCATACCCCCACTGACACACATCTTAAGGGAAGCGTTTCCCATGATCATATCTTGGCTGTGTGTCATTTACTACACTGGCTTCTGAGTTTGTTTCCAGGAAGCATGGTACAGTGAGTGCATGGCAGTGGTTCAGATATACTACCTACAAGGCCCCCAGGCTGTAGAGGTCTATAGACATACATGTTTGTGTATTCTAATAGGTGGGAGCATTTGGTTAGAAATGGAACTAGGGCCAGTGAGATGAATCATTGGGTGAAAGTATTTGTCATTCAAGCCTGATGATCAAGGTTCAATCCCTGGGTTGGTAGTGGAAGAAGAAAACAAACTCTCAGAAATCTTCCTCTGACCTCTATACATGTTTGTAGCATGTACACACCTGCATTATCTCTCACACATAAATATGCTCACACTAATAGACAAATAGGGAGGAGCTGTTATAAAACATGCACTTGAATAAGTATGCACCATATTCTCAGGTGGGAGGGAATGAGGATGGACAGTGCCTGGATAAAACAGTGGTGATAAAAAAGGAAGGAAGTAGAGTTGAGCTTTGGGTTCCTACGGAAGGGTGTGTTTTGTGTGAGAACAGACTGAATCTTAAACACATCTAGGCTGAAGCGCAAGTTTGGTGATGACGTCACGGTTTTAGGAGATAATGGAGCTTAGGGCTGGGGAACAAGTTGTTCTCAAACAGCTCAGTGTGAGAAATAGGCAGTCCCACCTGTTTGTATGGGTAGATGGAGACAACTGACTATCACAAGTGTCCTCAGGTCTCTCTCTCTCTGTCTCTGTCTCTCTCCCCCCCCGTCTCTCCCTCCCTCCCTCTCCTCTCTCTCTCTCTCTCTCTCTCTCTCTCTCTCTCTCTCTCTCTCAGGTCGCTCTCTCTCTCTCACACACACACACACTCAAATATATGTGATTTATTTTTAAAAACTTATATTTTTGGTTGTGAGCCTAGCCTTTAACGGCTGAGCCATCTCTCCAGCCCCCCCCAACAAAAAAAAAAACCTTAAAGATGTAAACTCAGTGCTCAGTGTGGTGACTTGTAACTGTTGTCCCACCCAAACTTGAGAGACAGGCAGGAAGATCATCAGGGGCTGGAGGCTCATTTGAATAAAACTACAGAATAAAGCCTGTTGTGTGTCTGTGCATGCACACATAGCTAATGGCCAAACCATCTGCCCTTTTGGAGTTATAATTAAAAAGATGTTCAAAATCAGGGGCCACTACTGTGTCCTACAAGCCAAGTCTGCCCTACTGCTTACTTTTATACTGCCTTTGAGCAAAATGAGTTCTTTATAATCTGCAGTTGTTTCAAAGAATGGTGTCGGTGAGAATATACAATTCGTGGCTCCCGTCCCTGAATGAAGTCTTATTGAAGCACAGCCACAGTACACGGCTGCCTCCACTCTTCCAGCACTCATTGAGTTGCTGGAGCTGGAACCTTACACAGTGAAGGCTAGATATCTACCATGTGACCCTTGCTCCACAGTGTGGAGGACCCCACAGGAAAATGGGGAAGCATGGAAGAGCTATCCACAGTAAATTCAAAAGAGCCAGTAGTCAGGAGCTGCAGGCATGGCGACAAGTGACCAGTGCCTGCTAGACTGCAATGAAGACTCTGGTGACTGGAGGAGGAAGGTGTTGAGTCCAGAAGCCTATGTGTGTGAGTGGAAAGTAAAGAATTAGAGATAGATAGTGGGGAGGTCACTGAAAATCACCGCGTGGGTGGTCAGCCTTTGAGATTTTTTGTTTGTTTAGTTTTCATTTTGTTTTTGTTTTATTGGGGATTGAATCTAGAGTCTCTTGCTCACCACAGAACTACATCCCTATCCCTTTCACAAACATTTCTAGATGAAGTTTGTGTGTGTATTTGGTCCTATCAAGATGAAGGAAGTGATGGTAGCTTATATTGGTTCTGTGCACTTGTTGGTTCTGTTGTGCAAATATACAATTCATGGAAAAATGGCACCTTGCTGATGCTTTCAGAAATGATGACAAGTAGAAGCTGAAACTGCAAAAAAAAAGAATGTGTAAGTTAAGAGAATAGGAAGGAGGACAATTCAGTCAATAGAGTATGTAGTTTTTAGAGTATACAAGTAGAAATTAGGAAAATAGGACACAGTATTGTACAGTGTTTTATTTCCTGTGAGACAGAGACTATATTTATTTGAAGCATAGACTTTGGTTTGGTTGTTGTTTTGGTTCGGTGGAATTGAACCAGAGTTGGGCTAGGTAGCCGCATCAGCCCCTAAAGCATTAGGCTTTCCCTGGCAAAGAAACTAAGACCTTGAGGCTTTTGAATCCCAACACCTATGTGGTTCAGTGGCTAGAGTAGCTCATTTTCAAACTATTTATGCTTGCCATTGAGAAGAGAGGCCCAACAGGCAACACATTAAGACTTGGTACTCTCCATCTGATACCTGACACTGCGGTACATTAATTCTGATGTCTTAACTTTGAACTTGAGAAATCAGTAAAAATGTGTCTGCTCCTGCCTAACAGTTCCTCCAGTAGATATCAAGGGTTTTGCTTGTCTTTATAATGTTGCAGACTGAATTTATTTATTGTGTGTGCATGTGTGGTCAGAGGACAACTTGCAGGAGCCATCTCAATCATTCTAGCATATGGATTCTAGGTGTTTTAGACTTGGTTGCAAGCACCCCTACCCACTAAGTCATTTTGCTATCCCTCATTTGTTTACGTTCATAAAGAAGTATAATGAAGAAAACAATCAGCCAGGTGGTGGTAGCGCACACCTTGAATCCCAGCACTCAGGAGGCAGAGGCAGGTGGATCTCTGAGTTTGAGGCCAGCCTGATCTACAGAGCTACTTCCAGGACAGCCAGAGCTATTATACAAAGAAGCCCTGTCTTGGAAAAGAGAAGGAGGGAGGGTGGGAGGGAAGAAAGAGAGAGAAGAGGAGGAAAGGAGGGGAGAGGAGAGGAGCAATCTGGCCATGCCCTCCAGCATAGTTTGCTTTTCAAACTAAGTCCTGGAATCATCCACTGGGCTCCAGAGATAGCACCATGCCAGAGGAAAGATAGTGGAACGGTGTTCTCATTATCACATCTGTCCTGTCTTTGATATGATTGATTGAAAATGCCATATGGAGGTTGTACAAGGACCTTTGTACAATGTATAGCACCCACTAGGGTTTGGGATTCAAGCAGCCGTGTATAATATAAAGTTAGTCAGCCCCTTCTCACCCAAGGCTGCTCTGTCATTGTCTTATTTACGAGATTGAGCTAATCTTAGCATGTGGGCAACCTAACACACCTGTAGAAGGGCAACCTCACAGACTAGCTAGGAAGAATTGACCTAACTTTCCAGAAACAAATGTTTCATTTAACAGTTATTTGTTCATCATCTGCTATAGGTTCTGCAGAGGGCACTATGTTAATATTAGATGACCGGCTTAAGTTTTTATTCTGCTCATCACATTACAGCTACCTCCCTTTCACTGGGAAACCAGGACTATATTGTGATTGGCCAAGAATAGACATGAGTTGCCTGGAACTTACTTCAGCTAACTAACTATTCTTTTCTCCTGTCACTCATAGTATTCAGTAATGTCCAGGGATGGCTAGTCTGGGCCCCTGTTTTCTGATGATGTATCTTTCTCCTCATAAAGGAGCCGGCCAAATGGCAACATGCTGGCCCAGCATCATTTCAGCAGTCAAAGCAATACTACTACCAGAGCTGGCTGGCAGGGGTTGGGCCTCAGATTATTTCTGTAGTACTGCCAGCCTCTGTGTGCTGGATAGATTTTCTTGCAGAAGTGGATGATCTTTTTTCAGGAAAGTATTTAAAAATATTTTTCAAGAATAAGCACTGAGTTCATAAAAGAAAAGAAATGTAGAGTTGTGGTATTGCTAGGATAAAGACAGAAGCGGAGCTAGGAACCTCTGTAAGCATGGTTGAAGTAGGTCCAGCAGGGTGTAGTAATTCATGGTTACTGTGCACACTTCTATGCTCTTTGGCATTTTATATCAATGAAAAGTCTAAAATGGATTTTCTAAAATAAAGCTAAAAACTTTCTAATGTCTCTGTTATGTAAACTGTCCCTGATAAGCCTTTGCATCCAGGTGGCTGGAGCAACCAAAGCCAAGTGGAGTTTTGTGATTCTCTAGGTCTGTAGCCCTCGATAGGTGCCAACTCTGTATCTGCCTTACAGGGAGGAAAGTGAAAGATGGTCTCTGCTCTTGAGGGACTTTTGGCCAGTGAGAGAGAGGTCTATAAGTAGAGATTTCACATGTAATTCACTATGTTGCAGGAACATGGAAAAGCGTTCTCTGCTTGCCTAGTCAGGACTTCAGAAAAGTTCACAGAGGTCTTCAAAGATGTGGGGTGGTTGTCTACAGGTTAGCTCAGGGTGTTGCTAACAAGCCTGACAACCTGAGTTCCAGCTCCAGGACCCACCTCCCTCAAATTGTCCTTTGGCTTCCATGTGCTTACACAGCATGTGTACACACAGAATAAGTAAATGTAAATAATAATTTTTTCCTTAAGAACTTAGAGGATAGGAAGGTCCCTTGGGCTACTAAGGACTTGGGCACAACTATTTCTACCTTCCAGGATTTGGTGAAGTGAGTAGTGATTGCTTTCATTCCCCACTTAATTGACCAAAGGTGCTATTTTGATTCTTTTTTACTGTCATCTGCTATTACCACTCCTACCTTAATAAGGTGAACATCCTGGCAGGATTTGCAAAGGCTGTTCATGAGAACAGAACAAAAGATTTATTTTGTTAGAATGGTCTCGTGTGTGCTTTCCTAAAAAAAGGTTTTAGAAAAATATATTTAATTTCAAAGACTTTCCTAACTCCTGTCTTTCAGTGCCCGAAGTGACGAAACCAAGTTTAAGCCAACCAACGGCCGCCAGCCCAATTGGCAGCTCTCCATCGCCACCAGTCAATGGTGGCAACAATGCCAAAAGGGTGGCAGTGCCGAACGGACAACCGCCAAGCGCCGCCCGCTACATGCCTCGGGAGGTGCCGCCGCGATTCCGTTGCCAGCAGGACCATAAAGTGTTACTAAAGCGTGGGCAGCCCCCTCCGCCGTCCTGCATGCTCCTCGGGGGTGGGGCAGGGCCTCCTCCCTGCACAGCACCTGGAGCAAACCCAAACAACAACGCACAAGTGACAGGAACGCTGCTGCAGAACGAGAGTGGGACTGCACCAGGTAAGACTTCGGGTGCCAGCTTCAGAGGGGGGGAGAACGCTTCCCTTGTTTATTTCCTGATGGCAATTCCACGAAAACCATTGCTAATATACAGCGGTAGTGTTGTGCAAATAGGAGAGGATCCCAGCATAAAAGCTGGGTTATGGTGTCTTGACATGAAAGGCTAATCCTAGGTTCTGTGGTTCCTCAGCTGTGTTCAGGAAGTGAGATTTACATGGGGCTTTTTCTAAATCTTCTAGAATCCAGTGTTTCCAGAATGATCACATAGGTTGTTGTATAGAATCTGAAGAGAACACCAGATAATACTATTCTATAGTTTTTAACTGGGTTACTTTTTTCTCCTTTTAAATTAGTGTTTAGTTTTTAGTCCTGGATTTTTATTTATTTGTTTTGTTTATTGGTTTTGGTTTTTCGAAACAGGGTTTCTCTGTAGTTTTGGAGCCTGTCCTGGAATTCCCTCTGTAGAGCATGCTAGCCTCGAACTCACAGAGATCTGCCTGCCTCTGCCTCCCAAGTTCTGGGTTTAAAGGTGTGTGCCACCCCTGCCCAGCACAACCTGGAATTTTGAGCTTTGTTAAGGCACTATAATATAAACATAAGAGTTCTTTCTGTCTTTTGAAACAGGATCTCCATTATAGCCCAGTTTGGTGTCAGACTCATGATCCTCCTGTCTCAACTTCATGAAAGTGTGTGTCACTAGTAGTTTTTAATAAGAGTTACATCAATAAATAGCAAAGAGTTTCCAGTCCCTTTAAAAAAATTAATGTGCCCTTTTAGGCTATATTAAAATTTAGATCTGTGTAGTAGAAGGAACTGACTCCCAAAAGTTGTCCTGACCTCCAAATGTGCGTCACAGCATACATACAAATGAATAAGCAAAGGTAATCCTAAAAATAAATTTTGAAGAAAAACTAGACTTTGAATATCACTAAACATAGGCAAGACCAGTAGTCTCAAGGTGTTAAGACTTGTGCTTCCTCATATATATGTATTGACAGGGTTTCTCTGTAGCACTGACTATCCTGGAATTCACTTTGTAGTAGACCAAGCCACCTGTTTCTGAGTCCTGGGATCAAAGGTGTGCACCACCACCGGGTGCTCCCCCCATCCTCGCTAATATATATATTTTTTTAATATTTTATTTACTATGTAACATTGTTCTACCTGCATATTTGCCTGCAGAAAGCATCAGATCTCATTACGGATGGTTGTGAGCTTACCATGTGGTTGCTGGGAATTGAACTCATGACCTCTGGAAAAGCAGCTAGTGCTCTTATCCTCTGAGCCATCTCTCCAGCCCCCTATTTTATGTAATGTTATTTTTAACTCATATTAACTGAAAACTGCTTGGTTAATGGATGAATTAGTTTAGAAAAAAACATTAAAAACGTTATCATTCCCCCACATAAAAAATGGTACATTCTACTGAAATATGTACTGAACAGTACTAATTTATCAGCTTAATCTCCTTAGGAGTCTGAACCTATCTGATCCGGACTCATGTATCTCGGCAGCTAGCTCAGAGACAGTCATCATTCAGCAGAGGCTTATAGAGCAGAATGAACAGGCCACTGTGTGGAATTCACACGTTAGCAGATAGGCTCTAATGAAAAGATCAGTGCGGGAAAGCAAGGATGTGAACAGAGGGTGACCACACTGAGGAGAGTGGATCTTGCTGAAGAAAAATGATTTTCAGGTAACAAGCCCAGGAGTGGCTCCATAGATGAAATGACACTTGACTATGTCCATAAAGGTGAATAAATCTCACTGTTTGGATTTGGGAGGAAAAAACAGTAGATCCAAGTGTAGAGTGGTGCCAGGGTCAAGAGGTGTGTTTATGTTTATGGACTGTAGGTATCTTTGTGGAAAGTTGTATAGGATACACTGGGAAGACTGGTTGGCATTAAAACATCTTGGTGAAACCAACCAAGGGGTTTTGCTTTTCTATACATTAAGGAAATCTTGAAAGCTCTCAGAACAATGATAGAACCAAAAGCATATTTTAGGAAAACCACTCTAACCACAAAATGTTAGACTAGCTTAAAGAAACGTAGCACGTTTAAGGTTTATTGCATTTTCTCAGGATACAAGAAGGTCCTTCTGTGTCAGCAGGAGTGGCAAGTAGGTAACTTTGAAAGCTGGTATGGAGCCAGGTGGTGGTGGCGGCACGTGTCTTTAATCCCAACACTCGGGAGGCAAAAGTTCCAGGCCACCCTGGTCAGGACAGTTAGGGCTGTTACACAAAGAAACCCTGTCTCGAAAAACCAAAAAAAAAGAAAGAAAGAAAGCTAGCTATGGACTTAGTACATACAACAGTAGCCAATGACAAAGGAAACATATAATGACCTGATGACATGAATACAGTCCTTAGGACCCACATGGTATAAAGAGAAAACCAACCCTAGCTAATTATCCTCTAATCTCCACACTGGTTCCATGGCATGCTCACATATTATGCACACGCACGCACACATACTTAGATAAAGAGGTGACGTTAGACACTCCCACAGGAAGATGGACCAGGTAGACAAGCCAGTCTAGGAAAGATGCAGTGAGCTCTGCTGGTATAGATGACGATGTATGTGCAGCTATGACTGACAGATGATCTCTTTTCCAGAGTCAACCCTTGGAGGTGCTGCTGCTTCAAATTATGCAAATTCCACTTGGGGCCCGGGAGCCTCCTCCAACAACGGCACCTCCCCCAACCCAATTCACATCTGGGACAAGGTGATTGTAGACGGGTCTGATATGGAAGAGTGGCCTTGCATTGCCAGCAAAGACACTGAATCTTCTTCCGAAAATACCACCGATAACAACAGTGCCTCGAACCCTGGCTCTGAGAAGAGCACTCTGCCAGGAAGCACCACTAGCAACAAAGGCAAAGGGAGCCAGTGCCAGTCTGCAAGTTCTGGGAACGAATGTAATCTTGGGGTCTGGAAGTCTGACCCTAAGGCTAAATCTGTTCAATCTTCCAACTCTACTTCAGACAGCAACAATGGACTAGGAAATTGGAGGAATGTGAGTGGTCAAGACAGAATTGGACCTGGCTCTAGCTTCAGCAACTTTAACCCAAATAGCAACCCATCTGCCTGGCCAGCATTGGTCCAAGAAGGAACTTCTAGGAAAGGGGTGTTAGAAACAGAAAATAGTAATTCCGGTGCACAAGTAGGCACAGTAGGTCAGGCATCCAGGGAACAGCAGTCAAAGATGGAAAATGCGGGTGTTAATTTTGTTGTCTCTGGCAGAGAACAGGCTCAAATTCATAACACTGATGGACCAAAAAATGGAAACACTAACTCCTTGAACTTAAGTTCACCAAGCCCCATGGAAAATAAGGGAATGCCCTTTGGGATGGGCTTGGGGAACACCTCCAGGAGCACTGATGCCCCTTCACAAAGCACTGGAGATCGAAAGACTGGGAGTGTTGGGTCTTGGGGTGCAGCTAGGGGGCCTTCTGGAACTGACACAGTCTCTGGACAAAGCAATTCTGGAAATAATGGGAACAATGGAAAAGACAGAGAGGACTCCTGGAAAGGAGCTCCTGTTCCAAAATCAACTGGGTCAAAAAATGACTCTTGGGACAACAATAACAGGTCTACGGGTGGGTCCTGGAACTTTGGCCCTCAGGACTCTAATGACAACAAATGGGGTGATGGGAACAAAATGACATCTGGGGTCTCTCAGGGAGAATGGAAACAGCCGACTGGGTCTGATGAATTGAAAATTGGAGAATGGAGTGGTCCAAACCAACCAAATTCTAGCACTGGAGCATGGGACAATCAAAAGGGCCACCCCCTCCCTGAAAACCAAGGCAATGCCCAGGCTCCCTGTTGGGGAAGGTCTTCCAGCTCCGCAGGAAGTGAAGTTGGAGGTCAAAGCACTGGAAGCAACCACAAAGCAGGAAGTAGCGACAGTCATAATTCTGGCCGTCGGTCCTACAGGCCCACACATCCTGATTGCCAGGCTGTCTTGCAGACTCTTTTGAGCCGAACTGATTTGGACCCCAGGGTGCTCTCAAACACTGGCTGGGGCCAAACTCAAATTAAGCAGGACACAGTGTGGGATATTGAAGAGGTGCCAAGGCCTGAAGGGAAATCTGACAAAGGAACTGAGGGGTGGGAGAGCGCTGCCACACAGACTAAGAACTCAGGGGGCTGGGGAGATGCACCTAGCCAAAGCAATCAAATGAAGTCTGGATGGGGGGAGCTCTCAGCCTCAACCGAGTGGAAGGACCCCAAGAGCACAGGAGGCTGGAACGACTATAAGAACAACAACTCTTCTAACTGGGGAGGACGAGCTGATGAAAAGACACCTTCCTCTTGGAATGAGAGTTCCTGCAAGGACCAGGGGTGGGGAGGTGGGCGCCAGCCCAGCCAAGGATGGACTTCCGGGAAGAATGGTTGGGGCGAGGAGGTTGATCAAGTAAAAAGTAACAATTGGGAAAGTTCTGCAAATAAGCCTGTGTCTGGGTGGGGAGAAGGAGGGCAGAATGAAATTGGAACTTGGGGTAATGGTGGGAATGCAAACCTAGCTTCAAAAGGTGGGTGGGAAGATTGCAAAAGATCCCCTGCATGGAATGAGACAGGCAGACAGCCCAATTCCTGGAATAAACACCAACAGCAGCAGCAGCCGCCGCCACCACAGCCAGAGGCTTCTGGTTCATGGGGAGGCCCACCCCCACCACCTCCAGGCAATGTTCGACCTTCTAATTCCAACTGGAGCAGTGGGCCCCAGCCTACAACCCCCAAGGATGATGAACCCAGTGGTTGGGAGGAGCCATCCCCACAGTCAATTAGTAGAAAAATGGACATCGATGATGGCACTTCTGCTTGGGGAGACCCTAACAGTTATAACTACAAGAATGTGAACCTATGGGATAAGAATTCCCAAGGGGGCCCACCGCCTCGAGAACCAAACTTGCCTACCCCAATGACCGGAAAATCAGCATCAGGTAGGCACTCATCCACTCTTTTTTCATAGGTTTTACTAATGAAAAGAAGTCCTAGGCTGGAGAGATGGCAGAGATTAAGAGCACTGACTGCTCTTCCAGAGGTCCTGAGTTCAGTTCCCAGCAACCACATGGTGGCTCACGACCATCCGTAATGAGATATGGTGTCCTCTTCTGACATACATACATGTAGGCAGAACACTGTATACATAATAAGTAATAATAAATCTTTAAAAAGAAAGAAAAGAAATCCTAGTCCAAGCCCTATCTGTTAAGGTGCATCTGTTTAACTTAATCTGAGGATGGTTCCTCCAGTTCCAGCTTTGTTGCCCTGATGACTTCTTTCTGTAAAGCACTAGAGATGGTATCTTCTCTAGTACATTACAGTGGTCTTTCTTAGTACAGTACTCTTGGTCCCCAGAATTACTACTACTACTGCCACTACTACTATTATTATTATTAATGGTTTTTCCAAGACAAAGTTTTTCTGTGTAGCTTGGCTGTTCTGGAACTCACTCTATAGACCAGGCTCTTCCCCCCACCAGATCCCCCTGCCTCTGCCTCCCGAGTGCTGAAATTAAAGTCTTGTACTACCACCACCAGGCTAGGTCTCCAGATTTATTTTTCTGCAATTATATTGGTCTGTATAATTTTTAAAAAGCAACCACAAAACAGCTTATTCTTGCCAAACAAACTACTCTTAGTTTAAGAACTAAAGAAGAAAGAGATCGACTTTCTTTCCTTCTTGGCTCTCTCTACCTGTAAACCCGCCCTCTGTGCTTTCCCCCAGCAAAGGAGAGCACTCTGGTGTTCTTTCAGAGGCTATCACAATGCGGTATCATAGCTGGTATCTGGACAGTTTGGGTCTCCAAATTTATTAATTTTTATGGTTCTGGTGCTCAAACTGAGAGACTTGTGCATACTAAGTAAGCACTCCATATTCCCAGTTCCTTCCAAGTGACTTAATGGTTGGCTGTAGAAAGGAATATACTTAAAAGATGATCTCAGGACAGTCAGATATTAAACTGTTCCAATAGCTCTTAATTCTATTCTCAGTTTGGCCAGAATGTCCCTGTAAAACTCACCAATTTAGAAAATGCACCTTTCGGGGTAGTTTTTGGTTTTAGTTAAAATTAATCATAATGTTAAGTTTCCCAGTATTTAAAGTGAATCTAGTTTTCAAGTAAATGTAATTAGGAACACTAATTATCGTGCATAGTGTTTTTAACTAGCTCTTTTTTTAAAAACTAAAAAAAAGAATGAGGACAGAAATAGAGACTACTCTTTAACTTCTTATCTAGAATCACACTTGCTAATGCTTTGAAATCTTGTGTTCACATAATAAAACTCTTCAAACTGCACAGAAAAGCAAAAGATAATAAATGAGAGAATCTTAGCCTCTTGGGTTTCTCACCGTAATCTCTTAGAATTTCTTTCATTCATAAATCTTGCTCTTTTATCTATTACAAATATACCTTTGATTGATTGATTTGATGGAAAATGTTATATTTCTGTAGTGTTCATCTTGTTTTTTTGTGGACTTTGGAGGAAAGAGACAGGAATCCTGAGACTGGATCCCAGGGCCTTTCCCTGGTAGGCTGGCAATATTCCTTAGCTATGTCCTATGTTTAAGCTTTTTGTAGCACATAACAGTTCTTTTCTTCATTGTTTCATATGTAATGTTCATTTTATGGGCCCAATATTTGTCTAACTGTCCTCTCTGGTAGATACTTAAGTTGCACTTTACCCACACTTGATATAACTTATCTCCTTCTGATATTTACAATGCTTCTGATTTTTGTATATATAATTTCATCACTTTACTACATATGCGTAGGGTAAACTTTCCTGGCAGTGGAATTACTGGGTCAGAAATCATCTACATTGGACCTTTGAAAAGTCACCTTGCCAGATACCCTCAATGAAAGTTGAATTTGTTTCTGCTAAGATAATATAATTGTATCTTCCCCCTTTGCTTCCACTGGGTGTTAAGTGTTCAATAGATCCTTAGAGACACACTTTTTTTTTCCAGTCTGGAGCAAAAGCACACCACCTGCTCCAGATAACGGGACTTCAGCCTGGGGTGAGCCTAATGAAAGCAGTCCTGGGTGGGGTGAAATGGATGATGCTGGAGCATCGACCACGGGCTGGGGAAACGCACCTGCCAGCGCTCCCAATGCCATGAAACCCAGTAAGTGGACTTGGTCTTTAATTTGAAGAATTCCTTGTTAATTAGAAAATAAGGCGTTTTGGTGAGGGCTCTTTTATTTAAAGTGCTAAGTCAATGCAATTCATAACCTGAAACATTAAATAGCAGAAAATGACACTGAATGTTGCTGGCATGTATTCAGATGTTTATTGTGACCTAAAAGTTATTTATATTGCTGATTTAAAAACAAATGAATGGCCAAGCATTGTGTCACACATCATTAATCCTAGCACTAGGAAGGCTAAAGCCCACAGGTTGGTTTCTGTGAGTTCAAGGCCAGCCTGGTCTATGTAGTGAGTCCCAGAACAGCCAGGGCTCATGGTGATACCCTGTCTCAAAAAATAAAATAAAATATAACAAATAAAAACAAATGCAGGCTTCTCCAGCACTTGTCCTCACACGTTACTGAGTTTTTTCCTCAAATTCACATTGTAAAAGAGACCAACTTGAGCAAGTAGTTCTTTAACAACATCCACGCACATGACCCACAAGCAGTAAATGAATGTAAGGAAAAAGAAACAAACTAGATTTAGTATCTATCCAGAACTGTAATATGAATATTGTGCATTTTTACCCAGAAATGTAAATATGTTCATTGTAACTACTTTATTTCTCCTCCTTTTTTTCATATAATTAAGACATGATTTCTCAGTCATCTACTCACATAAGAAAATTTTAGGTGTGTGGGGGTTGTTTGGTTGGTTTGGGGTTTTTTTTGTGTGTGTGGGATTTTTTGTTTGTTTTTTTGTTTTTGTCTGACAAAGATGTCTTTAAGTTCTTAAATGAAGAATAAGCTACATTTGATGTAACTGGCCATTTGTAGTCACTGTAATGTACAAACTATTACTTGATTAAATTGAGAATTTAGTATCAGGTGCACATTTCTACTTCACTAACTTTCTCAAACATGTTACAACATCTCTGTTTCCTACTCAAGCAGACTTAGGGGTTAAGATTTTTTGGTTAGGCCAGGCAGTGGTGGTACATGCCCTTAATCCCAGCACTTGGGAGCAGAGGCAGGTGGATCTCAGTGATTTTTGAGGCCAGCCTGGTTTACAAAGTGAGTTCCAGGACAACCAGAACTGTTACACAGAGAAACCCTGTCTCAAAAAAACAAAAATAAATAAATTTATGAAATTCTCAAAACTTTATATAAGAAAAAGGATTACTTGTATCCCGTGATATTCAGGACTTTGTGAGGAATATATTAGATTTAATCTAGAATTCACAACCATGCCTATGAGGCTTTGTTATATTTTAAAAGTCTTTATCCATTCCTCCACTTCATAGACTTATGGAATTTTCTGAAGACCTTGTTCTCATGATTTCCTTGTAAAGTCAATTGTGTTATCTTGGGAAATAGGATCTAGTTAACTTGAAATAGATCCAGATTGCTAAGGAGGCATGACACAGATTGTTTAGCAGGACTGTAGGATTTTCATGGGCCTTTCTCAGCTTCAGAATCACCTTTCTACCACAAATCCGTCATTTTCTCTCCTGTGCTCTGTAATATGTTTTGTTGGTCAAGGTCATTTGTAGTTGTGGCTCGTGTCTTTTCTCAGGGTGATTTGAATGTCTAATGCTCAGAAGAAGGAATAAATCATTTAACTAATAACTGTCAAGGTGTGATCTTCCATAGCCAAAATGCTTTATGTTTGATATTGAGTCCTATGATTAAAATCAGATACTTAGTCAGACATGTGGTGGCACATAGCTCTAACCCCAGCACTCAGGAGGCAGAGGCCAGCCTGGTCTACAGAATGAGTTCCGGGACAGCCAGGGCTACACAGAGAAATCCTCAACAAATGCAGATGCTTTTCTGTTGAGTATTAATTCAGAGCCTAGTGCTAGGCAAGTGCACTGCCACTGAGCTTGTAGCCTCAGACCCGCTCTTGAGAGGTGGGGTGGGGGAGAGGGGAGAAGAAAGAGAGAGGGTTAGTTGGAAGTCAGAGGACAGTTTTTTGGAGTTGATTCCAGGGAAGCACCTTTAACTACTGGGCTGTCTTACTGCCCCAACCCCCCTTTATGACTTATTTTATGTGTACACATGTTTTGCCTGCTTGTATGTTTGTGCATCATCACATGCATGCAGTGCCCTCAGAGGCAATGGACTCCCTGGGACTGGAGTGATACACAGTTGTGAGCTGCCATGTGGTGTTGGGAACTGAACCTGGGTCATCTGCAATAGCAGTTAGTGCCATCTCTCCCAACCCATTTTTATAAAGAGATCAGTATGATATATATACTTGGTTTTAAATTCTTTTTGTTTGTCAGTACAGTAGGTTATATAAATCCTATGCCTATACAATATACATATAATGCAGGTTATATAAAATTGTAATCTCTCATACCATCTGTCTGTCAATACTTGGATTAACAGTCCTGCCTATTGCTTTTCTACCATAAAGTCCCTTTGTGTGGCTAGGATGAACTCCATGGGAGAGTCGTGGCATTCACTTAGACCTGCTATAGTGTGGGATGCCACAGTTAGAAGAGCTTTGCAAGTGGAAACTTATTTGGCTCTCATAGGCCTGGTCTCAAGGATGGCAGCTGTCACTGGAAGTAGTACAGAGAAGAGCCATTTCCCAGCTCCCCACTCCATTTGAAGAAGGCAAATCCAGTTCTGTACAATGTTTTCTTACAAGCTTAATATTAACAATATTTGTTTAAAGGGTATGTTAGAACAGACTGTCCAGTGTCCACCCCCGGCTGTCCCATCTTTCTTTTCTTCTCCCATTCTGTCTTCTATATTTTCTCCTTTCTTACTGAAGACACATCTAGGATTCTCCTTAGCTGATGTATTGTAGATATGTTTATGGACATAATAAGCCTCAGCTTTCCATTGCCTTGTGTTTTTTATTTCCATTCTTATTTTAGCCTCATCCCAAACAAGGTAGACAGCTGGTTTTTTGGCTATACCTATTTGGTAGTGTAAAACAAAGACTTCGCTTCAGCAGCCATGCTCATTAAGAGAAACCAGTTTCTTCTCAATGAAATGTGAAATGTATATTCACTCTCCCACACATACACACTTTTTGCTGATAGTGTGATTGTTTGGGATTGTATCTGAAGTAGTCCATGGTGGCCTCAAACTCCTGGTAATACTCCTGCCTCAGCTTCCCAAGTGGTAGGATTGCAAGTATGCACCACCACCCAGTTCTGAAATTTCTTATAGTAGTGATGCATTCTTTTTAGTTTTGAAATTACTATCTGCTTGGTTCCAAGAAGAACCATAGAAGTTGTCAAAAGATCTTGATTGTGTGGTCTGTTGTCTGCTCTCTTTAAGTATAATTCATTTGCCTTACCATGTGGCTAGAGCAGGCAGAACTGCAAAGTTACTAAAATGCTGCTTTGGCAAGGAATGTCTCTAGTTTTGTTATATGTACTTACTGCAAAGAACTGATTCACTCTTTCCTTAAAGATTCCAAATCTATGCAAGACGGCTGGGGGGAGAGTGACGGACCGGTCACAGGAACTCGCCATCCTAGCTGGGAAGAGGAGGATGATGGAGGAGTCTGGAACACTGCCGGCTCTCAGGGAAGCACTTCCTCCCACAACTCAGCCAGCTGGGGACAAGGAGGAAAGAAACAAATGAAGGTAGTGCTTCAGAAATGCTGCAGCTTGCTTATTCATTCCTAGAAGACAGAGCTGAGAATGTACCCGTGGAAGGAATGAGGCAGCTGAGTCGCTGAGATCCTAAGTCAAGGGAAAATTATTTTTTGTTTTGTTTTGTTTTGGTTTTTGTTGTTTGTTTTTTGTTTTTGTTGTTGTTCGGCACAGGGTTTTTCTGTGTCCTGGAACTCACTTGTACACTAGGCTGGCCTCGAACTCAGAGATCTGCTTGCCTCTGCCTCCCCAGTGCTGGGATTAAAGACACGTACCACCACTGCCTGGCAGTATTTTCTTATAAATTAATAACTACTTCCCTCCTTTCCCTTCATCTTCCTATCCCATGATGTTGAAATCTTGAATTAATAGAAGTAGCACTGTGGGTAAAATGTAATTGGTAAGGTAGAGATAGTTGAGTTTCAGTTTCCGTGTTATAATTTTTTTTAAGTCCCTGAGGCCTGCTTTAAAAATTCCTTATGTTTTTGCATTTGAAAACAAAGAAGTTCTATGGGCAAATCATTGTGAAATGTAGAAAAGAAACCAAAGGAAGTTAATACTGGCTTTCCAGTGGTGATCAATGGGTCTTGATTTTACCTGATTCATCCCAAGGCCCAGAGTCCTTCTCCCAGTAAAATGAAAACCAACCCAGTTTTTAGCGCTGCCATAACTAAATGCTGTCCTCACATCCTATGCCAGACTGTGCCTTCCATACCCCCCTTTCCTTATAACAACCAAGTTTCCTCTTGGATTATCATTTTATTACTTATATTACTTACCTCATAGTCCTGAGGATGGAGCCCAGAGCCCTGTGAATGCTAGAAAAGCACTCCACTGTTGCTTTTGCATAGGGTTCTGGTATTTCATCTACAGCCATGATCTTTGCACTTCAACAACTGTCTTAACAGGTGCTTCTTTTCACTCTAGTTTTCTCTTTTATACACACACACACACACACACACACACACACACACAGACAGACAGACAGACAGACAGACAGACAGACAGACAGACAGACAGGAGAGAGAATAAGGAACACACCACCCATATGTCTTAATTTCACCCTGAAACCCCTGCTCCCTTGTGAAATACTTCCTAGCCAATATCCTCCTGGGCTTCAGATCCCCATACTGTCTAGTGAGACCTTCACTTAGTCTTCACCCCCTTGGCTGTGGGTTTCAGTACCCTGACTTTCTTCTGTAGCATTAGAGGCATTGGTTGAAACAGTTCTTCCTGGACTTCCTTTTCCTAAGGACTTGACTGTCCTTACTTGAGTCACTAAAGAGATTGCACTGTGCTGCTCAGCATCTTGGTGCTTTCATGTTGTCTGCTCTGCTTTGGCAGTCTTTTGATCGTCTACAAATTAGCAGTGGATCCAAAAAGATCCTAATTGAAGCCCCCTGGTCAGGTGGCAACCAAGATTTACTTAATTGGGAATTGAATGTTTCTACTCTAACACCAGTGATTCTGACCTTCAGTACTAAGACCTGTTTTTTGTTTTTTTAATGTGATAAAATACACATAATGTAAAAATTGTCATCTTAACCATTTTTAAGTATGCAGTTCAGTGGCAATAAGTATGTTCACACACAATTGTGTTCTTCTTAAAGCTGAAAGCTCTGTGCTAGTAGACTCGCTATCTCTGCTTCCTTCAGGACTTTCTTTTATATCTTAACTAAATATAAGTATCCCATTACTTAGAAAAAAACATATGTCTTGAGCCAGGTGTGGTGGCACAACTGGACATCTCTCTCTGTGGGGGCAAAGTAGAACACATTCAGAGTCCTTGAAGACAGATACTGGAGGATGGGGAGTTCAAGGTTATCCTGAGTTATATAGTGAGTTTGAGGACATCCTGTCTCAAATAACAACAACAATAATAACAATTATGATGTATCATACATAACACATGGAGTTTTTAATCTGTAGGATGCACAGCTGCACAAAGCCCAACCCCATCCCACAAATCCCTGCCTCCACGAGAACAGGAATGGAGCAGATGAAGAAACCAGAGCACCCTAAGAGTCATAGACCTACCCTGCTCTCTTGTCCCTGGAGGGCAAGTATAGTGTCTTCTTCCAGGACTCTTGCCCACTGAGAATGAACCAGATGAAGAGCTCCCTGGATGTGTTCTACTTTGCCCCCACAGAGAGAGATGTCCAGTTGAAACAGGCTCCTTCCTAAACAACACTCACCAGTAGCAGTTCTTTCCCTCATAGAATCCTGCTGGTGTCACAGGAGAGCGTCTTACTGGGGATGGCCATGGTAGCATGCACAAAGTTACCATTTACACAATCTGTTACTGACTTCTTTCCATGTAAAAAGTAGAAGAACCTCATTTTCCAGTTCACTGTGATGAGTAGGAGTAGAAGCATGGCTGAACCTAGGGCTTATTAACCATTATAAAGTAACAGGTAAAGTATCAAAATGACAAGCTATTAAGTTCAGAAAAGTTAACTCTCAGCTCTGCATTGTCAATGTAGTTTGTAGCTTGGGGAACTGTGATAAGCTCTGTGACTGAGATTACACATTTCATTTTTGTAGTGCTCACTAAAAGGAGGAAATAATGATTCATGGATGAATCCTCTTGCCAAACAGTTTTCAAATATGGGATTGCTGGTAAGTTTTATTGTTCTCATGTGTAAACATCCCAAATTTCAGGCTTAGTACAATTTTAAGGACCACTGCCATGTACAATATAAAATTGCAGATTTAAGTACAGGGTAGCTCTTAGAGCTAAGCAATATTTTTTTATTTATTAAGTGATATATATCAATATTAAAAGTGAATTATCTTTGTGTCCTTTTCCTTGGAAAGGAGGAGACAAAAGAGACACTTAAATTGACATATGTACGCATGTTTTCATCATTGTTTTAAAAAAAGAAAATAACTGTAAAAACTATGGTGGGATTCATTATCTAGAGTATAATTTTTGCAGAATTTCTAATTTCCTTATCTCTTGGGAACGCTGTTGGGACATCCTGTCCTAGTTGCCAAAAGACAAATGATTTAGTTTGGTTGCACAGTTCAAGATTTGATGACTTGGCAAGTCACAAGAAGAAGTTGTCATCATTTGGCTACCACTTGTGGAATTTGATCCTGCACACTTAAGAATGAGTATTTCTCCAAGCAGATGTTGAACTAGTCCTCTTTCCATAACTGTACTGAGGTTGACTACATGTGAAATTGAATGTTAGACATTTAATTAAGCATGGATGACCATCAAAATGTGATAGCAAAAATGTTACAGTCTTCACTCCAGTTTACAGTTCACTACAGAGGGTCTTGTGGGGTACTTATGGTAAGATGTGGCTTTCACATGAAAAATGGCACCTTTTCTCTAATTGAAAATGTGTATAATTGTTTCTCACTTGTGTTTGCTTTGTTTTGTTCAGAGTCAAACAGAAGATAACCCAAGCAGCAAAATGGATTTGTCTGTCGGTATGTATCAGTCCACAAATAGAATTGGGGTGTATTCATGGCCATGACAGGCCCTTGGAATCTCCTGCCCTGCTTGAGTTGAGGCAATCAGATCAATAGATACTTACTGAATGCTTTTCTCTGTATAAAATTTCATGCAAGAACAGTATAAAGGTTGAAAATTCAAATGCCCAAAGAGCCAGGAAAGAATGTAAAGGAATGTTGTGCGCCAGGTAAATTGGTTAACTGTGAAGAAGGCGTTTGCCTCAAAAGCCAGCCTTGCTTTACCTGAGGTAGTTTTTACATGAAAGATGCAAGCTTGACTGGACCATGCCTTATTAGCATCCAGATTTTTTTCACTCTGTTTTTTGTTTTGTTTGTTTTATTTTATTTTTTTCCTGAGACAGGGTTTCTCTGTGTATCCCTGGCTGTCCTGGAACTTACTCTGTAGAACAGGCTAGACCCAAACTCAAGTGATCCACCTGCCTCTGCTTCCCAAGTATTGGAATTAAAGACATGCTACCAGCACCTGGCTCAGATTTTTTTTTCCCCTTTTGAGTACTGGAAGCTAAATTCAGATTTTTTAAATTTATATGTGGTACTGCTAGACTAGACCCTTAAGTTGATGCTCTGTACCCCAGGGTATTTCATCATTGACATATTTCTCCATTGTGACTAGGGCAAATGGAGGGACAGCCCTTCATCTGTGGGAATTTTCCCAGTAATGCTTCTGCTCACCCCAGGGAACATAAAAAGAATCCTGGGTAGCAGTGGTAAATAGTGTTTGAGCTGTAACCCGATGATGTTCTCATACAACAGAATTAGACCTGAGAAAGAGAGGAGACAGTCATTGCACGAGCAGACCTGGCAGAGCAGGCACAGTTGACATGGTCGATTGAGCTAAATTCTTAAGCTTTGAATTTTAGGACAACGGGTGTGCCTCTGTGGTCTTTATATCCCCCTAAGTTCTTTTAAACCGCAACTGTGTATCTAGCTGGTGCTGACAAGGAAAACAAGTAATGTCTCTCACTGAGAACATTTGACTTCATGAGTAAGATGTATACATCCAACACATCAATTGTGATCTTTATATTGTTTAGTCAGTTTTGCCTCAAGGCTCTCCTTCCATGGTAGATAGGCTGTAGCAGGTGTGTATTTAACGTCTACAAGTGGGACCATAGGTATTCCAGGGATAGAACAAGCCCTGAATCAATGAGAACTCTGCTGGTCTCATTCAAAGCATAGAGAAGATTTGTTCCTTAGGACCCCAGAGAGCTGGTGGGCCAGGTTACTTGTAGGTCTTGAGGGAGATGTGTTTTTTTTTTTTCTTTTTTTTTTTTTTTTTTAAGCCATTGACTCTTGAAGTTTTTATTTATGTCCTTTCAGATAAGAAATTTGATGTGGACAAGCGAACAATGAATCTCGGGGATTTTAATGATATCATGAGGAAGGATCGACCTGGGTTCCGTCCACCTAATTCCAAAGACTTGGGAACCGCCGACAGTGGGCCTTACTTTGAGAAGGTGAGTTGCATGCTTTGTTTAAGTTATGTGTTCTTACTTGTCTTCTGATAGTCAGTTCTAGAGAAAGCATAAACTTACTGAACTCAGCAAGTAGAACATGAATGTCACCAGCATTAATGTTGCGACATGAAAATAGCTGATGTCAATGAGCGAGCCATCTGTCCTTACGATTTTTGTGATGGAGCTCTGAGTTTTGAGATATTCATGGAGTTTGGAGGAGGCCTTATAGGCATTGAGAGATAAGCTTACTCTGCCTTCTTGATCCTGCTGCTGTGCCAGCAACACATGAAATCTGGGCTTTTTGAAAAATATGTATCTCTTATGAGCTTGGATTAGGTCTGGAAAAGCTCTCCATCTTTCTCACTTCCCTAGTGGCTTGTGTTTAGGTAAATGGTATATTCTTCAAATTCTCACTCCTTATTGAAGCAAGTAAGTTTTACACACTTGTTCTGATTTTTAACATTTCTAATGAAATTGTTCCTTGATTCAGAATACTGTTTTATAGTGCTCCTAGTTCCCATAAGACATTTAAAACCAAAACATGGAGATTTGGGCCCATAGCATTGTTGCCAGTCTAGGTGACACCATATTCACAGGGAGATTGCTTGGTTTCTGCTTCAGGAGCCATACTACCAGAGTAATAAGTATTAGACTTGTAAAAACAAAGTGTCTGGCAACCCTTGTCCTGGTGCAGTGGGCCAACTTAGAGGAAGAGGAAGTCTCTGTGAAGGGGATGACAGATTTATTGGGCAAAATGTGACGATTATTATCAGATCCAAATTTCATCCTGGGTTATTGCTAATCCACTCTTTGTTTATTCCTAGTGTGTCTCTCTTTCCCTTCTTGCATTCTGTTGCTTCACTAACCAACACTCATTGTGATTGGCTAACTCCTACTACCTTTCAGCTGACTTTGCCTTTCTCCAATCAAGATGGGTGCCTTGGGGATGAGGCTCCCTGCTCTCCCTTCTCCCCTTCTCCCAGCTACAAGCTGTCTCCCTCTGGTTCCACACTACCCAACGTCAGCCTTGGAGCAATCGGCACAGGGCTCAACCCCCAAAACTTCGCTGCTAGACAAGTAAGGAGGCCTCTCAGATTTGAAATTGCTTGGCTGTGGCCTCACCTTGGCCCTGTCTTCAGTTTATTGCATCATTTGTCTGTCTTGGGAAACTTGTTGATTACTGAATGCACAGAATGATACTAAGTGTAGGTTTTACATCTTTTAGCCCATAGAACCCATCTCTCTTCATGTTTCTCAACATGGATTTTATTTTAAATCTGTTTCTTTTATTTCTTCATTTTTGGTTATAACTAATTTAGGAAAATATGAATGAGACTTTATAGGTGCCTTATATAATCTACTGATACATTTGCCACTTTTTAATATAGATTATATATTTGCCTGGAGAGGTGGCACAGAAGTTAAGAACACTTGCTGTTCTTGTAGAGGATCTGGGTTTTGTTCCCAGCACCCATATGGCAGCTCACAACCTCCTATAATTCCTGTTCCAGGGGATCAGATTCTAGATTCTGCACTCACCAGGCATATACACGATGCACAGATAAACATGCAGGCAAAATACTCATACATAAAATAAAAATAAATATTTTTAAAAGTCATTAGACTATATGATAAGTAGTATTCCTAGGGTCTCTTGGTTAGTATATGTACTAACCAAACATTAGTAGCAAAACTATTAAGATTAAGAGTAAATATTTGGGAGGCAGGAGAGATGGCTCAGAGGTTAAGAGAGGACCTGGGTTTGATTCCCAGCACCTACATGGCCACTCACAACTGTCTGTAACTCCCAAGATTTGACAGCCTCCCATAGACATACATGCAGGTAAAGCACCAATGCACATAAAATAAAAATAAATAAAAAGTTTTTTTAAAAAAAAGAGTAACTATTTGAGGATTACAGCATCTTTTTTTAAAAAATCTAGCTTCTTGGAACTGGGGTTTGACTATCATCTTTAGAATTTAAACCACAGTTGCTGGACGGTAGTGATGCATACCTTTAATCTCAGCACTTTGGAAGCAGAGGCAGATGGGTCTCTGAGTTCAAGGCCAGCCTGGTCTACAGAGTGAGTTCCAGGACAGCCAGGGCTACACAGAGAAACCCTGTCTTAAAAAACAAACAAGCAAACTAACAAATGTAAAGGACGGGACAGTACTTACATAGAGAAGGAGAACCTTAATAGTGAAGCTTTAGAGTGGTTACTGCTCAAGCATTGGCAATTGCTTAGTCCAAGGGCCATACATTAGCATCACAACTGGCAGGGCCCATCAGTGATGATTCGTAGTTTCTCTCATAGGCCTGAGGGGACACAGCAAGGCTCCAGAGTCTGTTGTAGTTTTATGGAGAAAACCATAAATCTGGGGCTACCAATGCTGTTATGGCAACATCTCCCAACAGTGGTGTTTCCCTAGCTCTAGTTCTGTGATTCCACACTGGCCACAGTGCCTTTCATCTCAGGATGAACCTGAGTATAAATTATACAGTGTGTGGTTCAATCCACTTTGTTTCATGTGATGACTTTTACATGAACATTAAAGGCTAAGGTAAAGCAGGACTGCTTACACCATAGTCAAATTGTGCACAGCTTATCATGTGCAGATTTAAAGTAGACTGTGCTGTGTGCATGTATTCAGATTAGTTATCTTTGGATTGGGAGGACCATAGACTGCTTTTCTATTTCCTTTAATCCCAGTGTTTTTATCTTTGTTTGTTTGCTTATTTTACATTTCCTAAAAGGCATGACTATATGTAGCTTACTTGAACAGAGAAAAACAATGTTTTAAGGATGCTTATTTTATATTGAGATATAGAAAATACAAAATAACAAATGTAGTTCAAAGCTCACATAAATACCTAATGCTATTAGTAGGTAAATTCAGGTTTAATAGACCAGCCACCTGCTTGGCATTGAACTTTAAAAAAAAATTCATTGTCTTGAGTGGATTACTGCAAAGTCCATCAGTATCTGGTGGTGCATATGTCCTACCCAAAATACAGTTCTGTTTCAAACTACTTTCCTATGAAATTTGTTACATTTACTTCATAATTAACAATAAAGTGTAAACCAGGCATGGTAGCACACTTTTAATCCCAGTACTTGGGAGGAAGGACTCTGAAGCCAGCTTGTGCTATAGTGTAAGATTCTGTCTCTAATAATATTTTTCCTAAATCACATAACATTCAACTCAGTTTGCTAGTTTTATTTTAAATTATATAAATTTCTGAATTAAACCCTGGGTTGAGGCAAATAACCCCAGTAATATGGAGGACATAGACATAGTCATTTTAGAACTTCCACATATACCAGAAAAGCTTGAGAAGTACTCAGATAAACCACCTTTGAATTACTATCTTCTTAATTGCTAAATCTACTGTTTTTGAAGGCCTTATATATTTGTTTGTCCTCAGCAAATCCCTGAAAATCAGCAAATCTGAGCCAAGAAAATGAGCTACAGTGCCATATTAAGATAGCAGGAAAGCAGCCGGGCGTTGGTGGTGCACGCCTTTACTCCCAGCACTCGGGAGGCAGAGACAGGCAGATCTTTGTGAGTTCGAGACCAGCCTGGTCTACAAGACCTAGTTCCAGGACAGCCTCCAAAGCCACAGAGAAACCCTTTCTCGAAAAACCAAAAAAAAAAAAAAAAAAAAAAAGATAGCAGGAAAGCATTTTTATAGACCACTGTTGACTTGCTTGTACCCACTTCAAAAACATCAGAACACTGTGTGTGACATCAGCCATCCTTCAATTTTGACAAGAAGCTGAGAATCTTCTTAGGAAAGGAAAGGCTGAAATTTAAAATGACTCTAGCTGGGCGTGGTGACTATCACCTTTAATCCCAGCACTGAGGAGACAGAGGTAGGCTGATCTCTGAGTTTGAGGCCAGCCTGGTCTACAGAAGTTCTAGGATAGCCAGGGCTACACAAACAAACAAAAAACTAAGATAAAACAACTTTAAACTGGGTGCAGTGATGTGAGTTAAACAACCCTTGGGAAAATAAAATTTGTGGTCGATCTTTGATCTTTTTATGATATATACAGATTTTAAATGCCATTTCTACTTTATGTTTGTAATCATTTTTAGTTTTAGTGCTTTTTAAGTCCCTTTATTTGCCTGTAGCAATCTCTTAATCTAATTTTGAATCATTAAAGCCATCACAGTATCTTTAGTATACTGGAACTTAAAGATGCTACTTTAATTCTTTAAGATTATGTTATCCCTGTGTTAAACTGAAAATTATGACCTCACTTTACAAATGCATTATTAGCTGCCTTTTCTGAAGATGTTAAGTGGGGTGTTTTCAAATGAGTGGTTGGTGGGTCATGGATATTTGCAAATGATTTGTGTATCCTATAGACCAAAACTTTATGAAGTTGTGAGGATGCCAAAAGGAAGGATTAAACTGGTACAGAAAAAAAAAAAAAGAAAAATGACTGTATCGTGGTTTTAGTAGACATCATGAGAGAGTTCCAGTGTTTTGTTAGCACAGAGAGAAATTCATTTTACCTTGTTCTTGGAATGAGAAAGGAGGCTTTGGGCAAGATACCCTTAGTGGGCCCTTTAACTCAGGCTTGAACAGGCCAGGAGTACATGATGTAGAGACTCTCAGGAGGCCAGGTGTGGTGGATGGTGCATGTCTCATTCCCCGCCTGAGCTGCTTAGGGAAACACAGTGGGGGTGGGGATGGAGTGGGAGCAATCCTCAGACAGAAGGAGCAGTGACAAGTCATTAAGTGCAGTTTCTTTCCTGAAGAACTTTCCTTAGAAACAAATAAGAAAGGCAAGGCCTCGAGAGCCCAGCTTCCCCCTGCTCTTGTTGGAAGAGTAAAAAGGAGCTCAGAGCCAAGCGTTGGTGGCTCACACCTTTAATCCCAGCACTCAGGAGGCAGAGGCAGGTGGACCTCTGAGTTCGAGGCCAGCCAGTTCTACAGAACGAGTTCCAGGATAGCCTCCAAAGCAATACAGAGAAACCCTGTTTTGTTTTGTTTTGTTTTGTTTTAAGGCGGAAAAAAAGAGGGGGAGCTCAGTGAAGTGGTTCATTGGGAATCATGGAATTGAACTGCTTTTTTTTTTTTTTTTTTTTTTCCCCAAGACAGGGTTTCTCTGTATGGCTTCAGAGGCTGTCCTGGAACTCACTCTGTAGACCAGGTTGGCTCGAACTCATAGAGATCCACCTGCCTCTGCCTCCCGAATGCTGGGATTAAAGGCGTGTGCCACCAACGCCCAGCTTTTTTTTTCTTTTCTTTTTTTTTTTTAATTAGGCTGATATTTATGCTTTTGAATGAAAAGTTACAGGTGAGTAATGTTTATTTCCATGACCTAGAATGATATTGAATATATCCTTTTCTTATCTTGATGTAAGATTGATGAGCATTTAGCATGTGGCAAAGAAAGCCAACAGATTCAGAACAGGGAAGTGTGCTTAGAGCTAGAGTCGGGGGGTCCCTGTGGATGTATGGTTGTGATTGGTTAAGCCAACTGATTGAGGGAAGTGATGCCGGAGTGTTACTGTACAACTGATACTTGCTTAAGGTGTATATTTTTACCTAGGTACCTTTTAAGATGGGTCTCAGATTATCAAGTTTGATAATTAAATTTAAACCCAGGCCTTTGTGGTGGTACACACTTGTGATACCAACACTTAGGAGGCTCACCTTGGCTTTGAGCCCAGACTGACTAGAATGAGACCCTGTCTCAAAGTCATCTTGAAGTTTTGCACACCCTGTTCCTTTCAAGCACAAAGAATGTAGTGCTACTTCTGTATTTGACTAAATTTAACCTCTTCAATTTATAGAATTTATCAGACCACCTATGGTGAACAACAGGCCTATGACTCAGTTTGAGTAACTGTCCCCCAACATGAAGATTCCCTCAGTTCTAAAATGAATACTGTCGTTCCTTCTTGATTCTTCTTAGGAGCTAGAACTGCTGCTTGGCTGTTTCCTTGAACTGACAAAACGTCCTGACTGTACTGTTCCCTCTGCAGGGCGGCAATCACGGTTTGTTTGGAAACAGCACAGCACAATCGAGAGGCCTGCACACTCCAGTGCAGCCACTGAGTTCTTCTCCTGGTCTCCGGGCGCAAGTGCCTCCCCAGTTTATCTCCCCCCAGGTAAGCTGGAGTTAGAGAACATGGAACTAGTGGTCCATTGTTACTGCCTGGTTGGTGTGCATGAAAGGGACAGCTGGACGTTTGGCAAATCCAGATGCCAAGTGCAAGATTGTTGGAACAGAATATCAGCCCCCTTTTTAAATTGAATCATGCATGCAAAGTAGATGCTTTGCAACTACTAATTGTCTAATACTGTATTGGTTTGGTTTTGGTTTTGTTCTTAATTAAAAGCAGTTCATAGCCAGGCAGTGATGGTTCGCACCTTTAATCACAGCAGGTAGATCTCAGTGAGTTCAAGGCCAGCCTGGTCTACTAAGCGAGTTCCAGGACAGTTACACAGAGAAACCCTGTCTTGAAGGAAAAAAAAAAAAATACAGCAACCCCCCAAAAAAAGTTTATAAGGTAACTGTGTTCAAAAACAGATTGCCCTCAGGGATTTGCCTGAAGATAAACAGAATTATGAGATTCTTAGTTTTTCTGTAGAACTCTAAGAAGCTGTATGCTAAAATTCTGACTTCCTACTCAGAGAGGCCTAGAGCAGCTGAAGGGGCCAGTTTGACAGGACTGTGCAGAGGCAGCAGTTAGTGTGATAAATGTTATAGATGGTCAGCAAAGTTTGGGGGCCAGGGTGGTACTTCACCTGATTAAATGTTCCTAGCATCACTAGCAGTGACATTTAAACTGAACCCTGAAGTTCAAAATTCTAGGTTTAGCCACATTAAAGAGACTTTTCCAACCACAGAAGTTTCGTGCCAGTGCATGGTAGCTGGAGTTGGTATGTGAAGGAAAGGCAGTTGGCTTGAATGATTTGTGTGAACAGGTAGATAGAAATGCATGCATTCCTCAGTGGGATGGGAAGAAACTAGACAGGGAATTAGGGACAGAATATGGCAAAACTATGCTTCCTTAACACAGAGAAATTCTTATACAAAAACCTTCATCCATACTAGTTTCATTCTGTGTAGTGCAGACTGGTCTTGAACTCATGATCCTCCTACCTTAACCTCCCTAGTGCTAGGATCGTAGGCTTGGGCCTACATTTCTTCTAAACTTTGTTATCCAGAATGCAGCTTTTGAGGGTTTGTTTGTTTGTTTTATTAAGCAGAGACACTGAAAGTTAACATTTAACATTTATTACAAGGCTAGGAATGTTGTTCAGTGGTAGGAAGTAGTTCACACAGCATGTGTGAGACCCCAGGTTCTTTCCCAGCTTGGAGGGGTGGGTTGTTAGAGCATTTGTTTCTACAGTTGTGTTTCCCTCCATCACTGGGGTATTTGGAAAGTAGCATTCTGGTGGCTTTTGACGTGCCTTTACATTTCTGCCATATTGATTACAGGGAGATCTTCACTTTCTCCAGCCCAGCTGGAGACTGAGGACTTTTAAGCCAGCATAATTAACTCCCCACAATGGAAATATGCAAACCTTCACGTTAATTATTTTGCATCCTAGGTTTGAGCAGTCATATTTTCCAAGAGCATAATGGTGATGCTTTCTGGTCCTTTTGTAATTCTTAGGAGACACTGTATCTGCAACCTACAGAGGCAAGGGTAAATAGCAAGACCTCCTGAGTATAACTCGTAAAGTCTAAAACTTAAGAAGCAGTTACAGAGGTGTAATGTAAATATAATAATGCCTTATGTTGGTGTGCTTTTCTATATCTGGCCATCTTTATATAGTGTGTTATTAATTTGGCCCTTTTTTATTTTAGGCAATGAAACCATATAGTATATATAAAAGACTATACAAAACCAGGCAGTAATGGCACTTGCCTTTAATCCCAGCACTCAGGCAGGCAGAGGTAGGTGGATCTCTGAGTCCAAGGCTAACCTGGTCTGTAGATCAAGTTCTAGGATGGCCAGGGCTACAGGGCTCTCTTGGGAGAAAACAAAAGAAAGTATATACTCTATGAAGTATGTGTGTTCTACTTACTTGTCATAAGACTGGGATGGGAGCCAGACCCCACAGTCGTGGTATGCTCATATTGTGCTGTGAATTCAGCAGTTCAAAGAGAGATCAAGTAAGTTTTTAAGATGGATAATACTCAGTATCACCATTGTCTCTTAGGAGATAGAGAGCAAGTAAACAACCTCATAGTAGAGTTGGTTGGATCACCAGGTGTGACTGAGATCATGGGAAGAAAATGAGTTGATAGGCTAGATATATAGCAAGTCTGAATTTGATCAGATATTTTTAGACTAGAAAAGATAGTCGTGCATTCTTAAGGATATTTAGGGGTGGTGACTTGAAATTAATAGGGGACTTCCAGGTGTGGTAGCACATGCCTTTAATCCTAGCACTCGGGGCAGAGATGGGCAGATCTTCAGCATGGTCTACATAGTGAGTTCCAGGACAACCAGGGCTGTGAATGATTACTTGAAACTGGCTACAGGACAGGGCAGGACAGAAATACCTATGTGACAGCTTAGTAAGTAGTGGGCTCTTTTTTTTTCTTTTTCTTTTTTTGGTTTTTCGAGACAGGGTTTCTCTGTATTGTTTTGGAGGCTGTCCAGGAACTAGCTCTGTAGACCAGGCTGGCCTCGAACTCACAGAGATCCGCCTGCCTCTGCCTCCCGAATGCTGGGATTAAAGGCGTGTGCCACCAACGCCCGGTTCATAGTGGGCTCTTTTCAAGCTGATCAATTTCAGGCTGGGCAAAAGTTCTGCTTGCATCCTCCTAATTATCCTCAGCTCTACCTAGCTGGTTCTACGTTTTCATCCATGGTCCCCATGGGGCAGCAGAGTGCTAATAAGTAGACAAAATTATTTGAAAATAACTTGGTGTTTTACTCTTACTTAGTATAATGGCAGTGTGCTCATTTAATAAGCACTTATAGAATATCTACATAAAGATAAATGCATTAAAAAATTAGAGACCTATTTTCATGGGTTCAGTATTACGTTGTGAGGGTGGAGCTAGGACTGTGGCTCCATGATAGAGTGCTTGCCTGTCACTGATTCAGGCCTTGGGTTTACTCCTCATCACTGCAAAAGTAAAGAGAACTCTGGGAAGCAAACATTCCAAATACTGTTGGTTGTGATTGGTATGGAGCTTCCGGGTGAATAGAGAGTTAGGATGTGATCACTAGAGAAACATACCTGAGGCTGTGTTAGAGAAAGTCCGGCTTTGCAAAGTGCTTAGGGGTGGCCACATCTACTTGGTGTTAGACTGTACCTAGAAAATGACTTTCTGTTCTTGGTTCTGCATGAGAAACAGAGGTGAAAGAAGCAAGTTTGTTAGCTGAGAGTGAGGAACTGAGGAACCATTCTGTGACATAAGAACAGATACTTACAAAGTACATTTCTAAGTCTTTGGCATAGAGCAACTCAGATATCTCAAACAACACATCAAGGTTTTTATTGGTTGGTTTAGTTGGTTAATTACTTTATTCCTGTTTTGGATGTAGGCAAATAAAATTCAAAAAAGGTTAAATAAGGTGCTTGTTCTGAGTTACACAGCTTAGAAATGATAGAGACTGGGATATGTACCTAACAGCCTGTCTCAAGCCCTAAAATCAGTTTGTCTTTCCTTCCCCTCCCCTCCCTTACTTATTTACTTAGAGTTTTATTTAGATATTTATTTGGTTTTTCTAGGCAGGGTTTCTCTGCAGCCCTGGCTATCCTGGAACTCTTGCTCTGTAGACCAGAGTGCCCTCGAGCTCAGTGATCTGCCTGCCTCTACCTCCCAAGTGCTGAGGTTAAAGGCATGTGCCACCACCGCCTGGCTTTTTTATTATTTTTAATGGATCTCTACACATTGTCAGAATGACCCAGAATTCCAGGGATCGAGAGATACATCTGCTTCCCAAGGAGTTGTGACAGCAAGGCATATACTGCCTTACCCCATTAACCCTGAGTAAGCTCTTAGCCCCTGTGCTGTGTGGAGGGTTAGGGCTCTTCTCTATGGACCGACTGACAGTGGTTCCAAGGATAAAAGTATAGGGAGGCCTTTCATCCCAGCGCTCGGGAGGCGGAGGCAGGTGAACCACCACAGCTTCTGGTAAGCATGTATTAGCTCTAAGCAGTTTAGCACATTTGGTTATATAGCATGTTTCCAATACTAATTTCTCAATTAGAGAAAAGCCATATTGTCATTATTTTTTTTCTTAAAGATTTCTTTTCCTGATTTAGATTTTGATCATTTTTACTGCAGGAAATTAGAAAGTTCTAGGTAAGAATTAGAAGGTTCTTAACAACCTCACAGCCCAGAGATAGATAACCATTGTTAATACTGTGGAGTATCCTGCAGAGAGTTTTCAAGAAAATAACAGTGCTTGCTTTAGAGCTATCAAGTCTTCTTTACAGAGGCAACGATGACAAAAGAAAAAAGATCTTTTATTTTGATAAATTCTAAGGACTTTTTTTCCTGTCTGCTGGCTAGGTTTCTGCCTCAATGCTCAAGCAGTTCCCCAACAGTGGCCTGAATCCAGGTCTCTTTAACGTGGGGCCTCAGTTGTCTCCTCAACAAATCGCCATGCTGAGCCAGCTCCCACAGATTCCCCAGTTTCAGTTGGTAAGTAGCATGCTTTGCTCCTGTTGCTAAAAGTGTGATTTGCTTCTCTTTTTGCTTTACATTATTTTCCTTCTCTTTATCACTTTATGTTCAAACTTTTATCCATATTAATTATGGTTAAAATTTGATATATCCATTTACCTGAAGATAGCCTTTAATATAGACTGAGAACTTGGTTGTGGGTGCTCTGCATGTAGACACTCCATGTCAGTCTGAAGATGCTGTGGTTCCCTCCTCATTGTTTTGTAGGCATGCCAGCTTCTCCTGCAGCAGCAGCAGCAGCAGCAGTTGCTACAGAACCAGAGAAAGATTTCTCAAGCAGTGCGCCAACAGCAAGAACAGCAGGTATGTGGGTGGGGAGGTCCCCTAGTGCTCTGGGTAAGGAACGCCTTTGACTTAACAGCTACTTTGGGATACTGGCTTATCTGTCCATTTCTCTTGGGTCCTTCCTTAATGGATGCTGATCCTGCAGCTGGCAAGGATGGTGAGTGCTCTTCAGCAGCAGCAGCAGCAACAGCAACAGCAGCAGCAACGGCAGCCTAGCATGAAGCATTCGCCATCTCATCCTGTTGGACCTAAGCCACATTTGGACAACATGGTACCCAACACACTGAATGTGGGGCTCCCAGATCTTCAGAACAAAGGGCCAATACCTGGATATGGTTCTGGTATGTTCTGTGTTGTGGAAAGTACTTAGTATAAAATCTACCTATCCAGTGCTGTAGTAGCAGGTGACATTACCCTCCCTTTGCCTTTTTTTTTTTTAATGTTATTTATTTTCTTTGAAAAAAAATTTTTGAGCCGGGTGATGGTAGTGCAAACCTTTAACCCCAGGACTCAAGAGGCAGAGGCAGTCAGATCTCTGTGAGTTTGAGGCCAACCTGGTCTACAGAGTGAGTTCCAGGACAGCCAGGGCTACACAGTGAAACTGTCTTGGGGGGGTGAGATTTATTTTTCATGTGTTTTGTTTGCATGTGTGTCTGTGCACCACACATATGCAATGCCGTCAGAGGCTAGTAAAGGGTGTTGGATCCCTTAGAACTAGTGTTATAGGTGGTTGTTAGCTGTCGCGTGGGTACTCAAACCTTGTTCCTCTGGTAGAGCAGTCAGGGCTGAGCCATCTCTCCAGCTCCCTTCTGTTTTTACAGTAGATAATGGCATGCTGTAATCACAGCACTGAAATGTGGTAACAGCCCTTGGCACCCAGTGGCCACCTAGTGTAACATAATCTGTGCAGTCCAAGCCAATGAGAGACCCTATCATTAAAAAAAAAAAAAGTGGGCATCTCCTGAGGAACACACCAAAGATTGACACAACACACACACACACACACGTTAGCACACGCATGAACGTCCATATGATCATACATGGAATGCACACATGAACATATACAAGCCAATTAAGTATTTCTATATCCTCTGCATGCTGCTCATGGCTGAGGTTGTATCTATGAAAGCATGTACAAATTTTAAGTGTTTCACTTTACTGATAGGGCAGTTTTTTAAAAGGTGGGATATGGCACAAACAAGGCTAATTTCTTACATTAATTGAGTATTTCATCTCTTTAGAGATGGGGAAGCATGCTGTAAGCAGGGTCCATTCAGTGAGACAACACTGATTTAAAAATAAAATTAATGGCTATGAATTGTGGCACATGTCTGTTAATCTCAGTGGTTGGGAAACTAAGCCAAGATTATTTCAAGTTCAAGGCCAGCCTGAGCTACATGGCAAGTTGTTAGGTTTTTTTGTTTCTTTCTTTAATGGCATTTAGAATTTATTTTGGTAAAGAAGATACCAATCTATGTAAAAGGGGGAAAAAGAGTGAGAAGACCTGAAACCTGTTCCTGGATCAACCCCTGACTGGACAGATGGCTGCTTTCTGCCCTGACCTACTAGGATTTCTAGCTCAAGCTAGGAAGTAGTAAAGACTAGGGTGTCTTTGACCCTGGGAGTCTCGGCTTTCACAGCTGTCTTCTTCAGGTGATCTGAGAAATGACTTAAACTCAGAATAGCCTATCTGAGGCTACAAGTAGTAGAGTAAATACTTAATAAGCACAAAGCCTAGCTTCTGTTCACTGTTCTGGGAGGAAAAATACCTTTCTTCCACTTGACATAGGACAGGCCCTTTCCTATGCTACCATCTGTGCTACCATCTTCTCTGGGCTATGGGAGGTCAGTGTGGCCAGTAGAGAGAGCCTTCCTTAATGACTCTGGAAAGTACAGTGGTGACTTTGTTACCTTCTCAGTCCTGTTTTCTGTAAAGGGTGAGCTTGAAGGAAGAGGCCAGTTACTATAGATGTGGAGGTGCTTCTGGCTGTATTCTTCAGACACAGCATATGAACACAAAACAGGACATCTTATCTGTAGTCAGTCAGACTTTTTTCTGGGCTGTCAGCTCACAAATAATGACACAGACTTAATATTAATTATTGAAGGTTGGCCTTTAGCTTATGCTTTTCCCTGCTAGCTCTTATAACTTAACTAACCTGCTTTTATTAATCTACATTTTGCCGTGTGCTGTTAACTCTCTGTACCATATGTCCAACTTGCTCTGTGTCTCACTGGTGTCTCCAACTCATCTACAATCCTCTTCCTCCTCTCTCCAGAAATCATGCCTAGCCTCTCCTACCTAGGTACTGGCCACTCAGCTCTTTATTTTATTTACTTACTTACTTACTTACTTATTTTTGGTGGCTTTTCGAGACAGGGTTTCTCTGTATTGTTCCTGGAGCCTGTCCTGGAACTCACTCTGTAGTCCAGGCTGGCCTCGAACTCACAGAGATCTGCCTGCCTCTGCCTCCCAAGTGCTAGAATTAAAGGCATGCGTTACCAATGCCCGGCCGGCTCCACTCAGCTCTGTATTAAATCAATCGGAAGGTGCCTTGGCAAAGACACATGGCAAGTCACAGTGTACAAAAAATTATCCCACACTATTTCTCCCTTTTGTCTAAATAAAAAGGAAAGGTTTTAGCTCTGACATAGTAAAACTATGTACAGTAAGGGCAATTACCAGGTAAGAATACATTCACAATATCCAGTCCATATGTATTTCTCAAATTCAGAGAAAATACTCTATTATCTATCTTATCCTAGTGAATCAAAGTTTTATACCTAAGCCAATCAAAAAATACCTTTTTGGACCTTAAAACAGCTTCTTAGATTAAAAAAAAAACTTAAGCTTTTATGTGTCTCAACCTTATAAACTTCACAACTCTTATATAAGTTTCTGAATTTGGTAATAAGAAAAACTATAACTATCTATTCTTTAACCCTATCAGAGACCCAAGAAGAATATATTAACCGAGTAAACAGGAAGTACAGAGCAAACAGCTCTCAAAACTATAGAAATGACAGAAACAGCTGGCTGCCTGGACAGTCACCCAGGGTTCCTCTACAATATTGGGGCATTCATCTTTGGCCTAAAGGTCTATCTAGAATATCTGACAGACCTTTCTGTGAAGCAGAAATTTTGAAGGACTATCCTACCCTGACTTGGCAAGGTTCAGTGGTCACCTTTTGTGTTCTGCTTGTCCGGTTTGGACAGTGTACTTGTCAGCAGTTGAGGCAAGGGCAGTTTCCTGCCCGGTGACTAGCCTTGCCACATTGAAAGCAAACTCCATATGGAGGATTTTTGAAGCCCATCCTCTTTTTTTTTTTTTTTTTTAAGTAGATTGGTGCTGCCAGGAGCATACCTATCTCACTGTCATGTAAAGCCTTATGTTATTAAAACATCTTAAATGCCATATTTTGTAGGTCTCTGAAGTGTTTGAAGATCACCTATCTATCTAAAATATGTTTATCCTTGAAAACATACCTGACTACAAATTTTATTACTATAGATGACTAACTACTAACCGGCATTTATTTATTTGGTTTGGTTTGGTTTTTTGTTTTTCGAGACAGGGTTTCTCTATATTGTATCGGAGCCTGTCCTAGAACTCTCGCGGTAGATCAGGCTGGTCTCAGACTCACAGAGATCCACCTGCCTCTGCCTCCCGAGTGCTGGGATAAAGGTGTGCACCACCAATACCGGCTCTGTTTACCTTAGTTTGTAATAATAACTTTGAAGGTTAGAACTATACATTGCATTTTTAAATTAACTGTATGGGGCCGGGTAGTGGTGGTGGACGCCCAGCACTTAATCCCAGCACTCAGGAGGCAGAGGCAGGTGAATCTCTGTGAGTTCGAGGCCAGCCTGGTCTACACAGAGAAACCCTGTCTGGTAGGGGCAGGGGAATAAATAAACAAGAGTAAAAACATATATATAGTATATTGTGACAAAAATAACCTTAAATTTGTATCGGTATACAAAAATCCATACCAATGTAAAATATTTGAGATTAATAGTTATTTTGTAGTTTAAAAGTATTCAATATTCTTCCCTTTTAACCTATCATTACTATATTCCTCCTTTTCAGAAAGTAATCCTTGAATCCAACCTCCCTTGCTTAGTCTCCTCCCTTAACATGACCAGTAACAATTTGCAATCAGCCCCCCTAAGCAATGACAAATCAAGTGACCAAAAACTATCCACCTAGCCTTGGGAATGTGGGTGCCATATTCTTAAAATTACTTCCTGTTGTCTGGGGCAGACGAGGGGGCAACAGCATCTTTAGAGGACCCTGAGACTATTCAGATAATAGTCAAGTCCTGGGAGGGCTAGCTGTATCGTTTGTTGTCCTGTCTCTGTGAAATGGGGAAGTGCAGGGCTTTTCTGAAGTCATTGCTAGAGTAGTCTGTAAAGCTGGACTTGTCTTCTTACCTCCTTGTCAGAAAGGACAAAAGTGTTTAGCATGTAACTCAGTGGTAGAGTCATGTCTCACATGTACAAGGCCCTGAATTGGATCCCTAGAACTATGCAGGGGAAATAGGTATAATAGTTTTCTAGGTTAGATCCAGTTTGTCTGAGGGACAAGCATTTGATGGAAGTCAAAGATGTCTTTTCCATGTTTCAATGAGCATTGTTCTCACTACTTGTCTATATTCACCCAAGTGCATGCCACTACTTGGGAAGAAAACTGACCTTCACAGCCAGAACAGTATAGCTCAGTGACCCTGATACTTTTACATACATGAATAAAGAATACATCAGGCATGGCTGGGATGTAGCTTAGTGGTAGAAGGTTTACCTGCTGAAGTCTCTGGTTCATCTTCAGTATAAGGAGGGGAAAAGGGAAGCAAACAGCAAACAAGGCATGACTACATACACAGCGCCCAAGAGACAGGGATCTCAGCAAGTTGAAGACTATCCTGGTTTACATATCATCCAACTTCCAGGCCATAGATAGACCCTATCTCCAAAAGCAAAGAAAAAGGAGGGAACGGGAGGAGAGGAGGGAGAGAAAACTGTGGTTGGCATGTAAAATCAATCAATCAATCAATCAATCAATCAAAACAAAGAAAAATAGTGCATAAAGCAACGTTTTATGGGTAAAATAATTCCAGCATGTAAAACCCAGGAAGTAGAGCCAGAAGGATCAGAAATTTGAGGTCAGCTTGGGATACATGAGACCCTGTCTCTAAAAATAAATAAGAAAGGATTGTAGGCTTAACCCAGTGATAACATCTTCAATATTTGCTATGTATACTAAGAGGTAATTCTTGTCTTGGTGATAATCCTGTTCTTTTTTTTTGAGATTTTATTCATTTATTATGTATACAGGGTTCTGCCTACATGTTTGCCTTCAGTACAGAAGAGGGCACCAGATCTCTTGATAGATGGTTGTGAGCCACCATGTGGTTGCTGGGAATTGAACTCAGGACCTCTGGAAGAGCAGCCAATGCTCTTAGCCTCTGAGCCATTTCTCCAGCCCGATCCTGTTCATTTTTAACAGTGTGTACCTTTTTCATTTGTTTTAACAGGATTTTTTCATTATTTTGTGTATAAGGGTGTTTTGTCTGAATTATATATCTGTGCACCACACCATATGCTCATACCACATTTGGAAACCAAAAGAAAATACCAGGTCCACTAGAACTAGAGTTACAGATGGTTATAGCCACTATATGGGTACTGAGAATTAAACCCAGGTCTTCTGGAAGAGTAGCCAGTGCTCCTTCTAGCTGAGCCATTGCTTCAGGCCTAAACATAAAAATTTTATCAGTGTCTTATCAGGTAATTATGTTATTTGTGATTATTTTGCTTGGTTCGTAGTTGTTTATAAATACTAAAGATCAAAGTTCACTAGGCAAAAACACATTTACATTTACTGAAATTTTGTGGTTTGGATTCTATTTCTGTTAACTGTTTTACTCCCTATGTAGAGAAGGCTGGCCTCAAATTCACAAAGATCTCTGCCTCCCAAGGGCTGGGATTAATGATCTATACTACCACACCTGATCTGTTTCTATTTCTTAAATAATAAATGTGTTTTATTAAGCCTTGCTACTTAACCTGGAACTTGTTCCTTGACTGACTGGCCTTGAACTTGATCCTGCCTCAATGTTACAAATGTTCGCATGCTATCACTATGCTTGGGTATTATGCCTGTTCTGAGTAATGTACTAAGCCTACAACAATACAATTTTGAAAAAAAAAGTATTTAAGACATAATACAGGGTTTGAGTTTTTATAAAAATATTAAATATCAAAGGTAACGATAACAAAAATTGCATAATGGTTCATGCTTTTAATGCCAACCTTGTCTACATAGGGAGCTCCAGGACTATATAAAGAACAAACAAAAAAATAATAAAACAAATACTTCAGTTTTTCTAATGCTGAGTATATCAAATTATAATCAAAATACTTTTTGGTAAAAGGGTGGCAAGAATAATGTTTCTTAGTATGCCTTCATACTATATTTCTGGGTTTTGGTGGTTTTGTTTTGTTGGTTGAGGAATGTTTGTCTGAAATAAGGTTCTGAAACTTGCTAAATAGGTCAGGCTAACCTTGAACTCACAGAGATCTGCCTGCTCCTGAGTCCTGGGATCAAAGGCCTACACCACCTCATTGTTTCTAAATAAACCTCTTTTGTTGTATTTTCTAAAAATTAAAAGTTTAATGACAAACCTGCTATTGTGGCACCTACCTGTCATCAGGAGACAGGTAGGAGGATCAGGAGCTACATGAGATCAAAAACTAGGGCTAGTGAGATGACCAAACAAGTAAAGCACTCCCACCCCAATGCCCTGGCTCCAGTCCCTGTGTGACACGTGGTAAAAGGATATAACTGACGCCTACAGTGTACCTTCTGACCACATGCCAGCCAAGGCATGCAGGTGCCCAAAACACAATGAATGAATGAATGAATGACAGTTGCTTAGCTAATCCTAAGTTGTTTTTTTCTGTAAAAAAGAAATGGTTTCTAATTCTCTGCTTTTAGCAAAATTAAAACTATGCCTAGTTGATGATAATGACCTACAAATTGTGTTTCAGTGTTACATGCCAGAGGGAAGGGCCTAGATCTGGAAAGGATAAGTGATAGCCTGATAACTCGGATTCCCATCCACTTATTTATGTGATTTTTTAAAAATAGTGGAGTCATATGTCCAGGAAAACAGCCACTCATTTACTACAAAAATATATTTCCAGTAGACATTGACTTATGACTGTAATCCTAGCACTAGAGCTAAAGCCAGCCAAATCTACACAGCAGGACCTGTCTCAGAACGGCACTACCCCCAGAAACAGCGGTTTCTAATTAGTTTCCTCCTTACGTTTCAGAATTATCCTTTTTTATTTCTTCTTATTTATTTATTTTTGGTTTCTTGGGGCAGGGTTTCTCTGTATTGCTTTGAAATTTGTCCTGGAGCTCACTCTGTAGACCAGGCTGGCCTCGAACCCACAGAGATCCGTCTGCCTCTGCCTCCTGAGTGCTGGGGTTAAAGGCGCACGCCACCAATGCCCGACCCTTTTCTTTTCTTTTTTTTAAAGTTTATTTATTTGTTTGTGGTTTTTCAAGACAGGGTTTCTCTGTGTAACAGTCTTGGCTGTTCTGGAACTCACTCTGTAGACCAGGCTAGCCAAACTCAGAGCTTCTGCCTTTGGAGTGCTGGGACTAAAGGCATGTACTACCACACCTGGCTAGACTTATCTAATTTTATTTAAATATTTAATATTTATTAATATTAAACTTTATAATATCTACATAGTATACCTAGTGAAGAATAAAGCTGTATATAATGGTAATTATGAAAACAAAAGTCAGACCAACAAGACAGCTTGGTGAGGAAGAGCTGCCACAAAGCCCGACAACCTGGTTTTGATGAGAGTTCACAAATAGAGAGAGGTCACCAGTGAAGTGCTCCTGAGTGCAGCCGTTAGGGCATGGTCCACATCCTGGTACTATATGACAGCAACAAAAGTCTTTACCAGCCAGTCGCATGCCTTAGCCTACCAGGCACGCACTGTGCTCAGGACTACATGCAGGCCTCAACATTTCTGTTTGCACCAAGTCTTTCTCTTGAGTTTTGGGTATAGATGGACTCTGTGATGTCACTGTGTCAGCACTCAGCCCCACATTTCCAGTGAAGCAAATGCCCTCCTTGAGCTTCAGTGAGTTCTGCTCAGTTCTTAACCCATCTTCTACTCTTCGTACGTCACAGAAAAACTCAATAGTTTACGTTAAAGAGCATTAATTTACTGAGTTTGAAAGACATTTTAAAGGGGACTGGATTGTGGCTCAGCTAGTTAAGAGCACTAGCTGCTCTTCCAAAGGACCCGGGTTCAGTTCCCAGCACCCACATGACTGCTCATACCTGTCTGTAACTCCAGTTCCAGGTCTTCTGACACACTCACACAGACATGCATGTAGGCAAAATACCGGTGAACAGAGGTTGAGGATTTAGCTCAGTGGTAGAACGCTTGCCTAGCAAGCACAAGGCACTTGGTTTGGTCCCCAGCTCTGAAACTTCAAAAAAAAAATTGCTTGGCTTTATAATCTCCAGGCTGAAAAGATGGTTCAGAGTGTGTACCGCTCTTGCAGAGTACCTGAGATCGGGGTCCTCTCACCCACAACTGCCTGTAATTTCAGCTCCAGCTCTGATGCCCTTTTTCTGGCCTCCATAGGCACTCATACCCACACACAGTTACACATAGTTAAAAATAAAATCTACTCACCATCCTCACCTTCCAACAAGCAGTTAGTTGGGCTACGTTATAAATGTGTGGAGAAGCAGGGTTATTATAGAAATAAGAAACATTTTACATGAAGGGCAAGAAGGTGTCAAAGCCCCCCTCCCCTGGCTTACACATTCATAAAACCAAGCCAGACACTATGATAAGCCCTGGGGGGCAAACTAACATGGGCCTCTGTGGGACTTGGATCTGTGGAGCTTGAGAAAAAGCCATCCTAAAGTACCACACTAGGAGAGCAAAGTGGGAACATCTGGGCTCTGGCCTTGCCGGAGCCCCATAAAAAGCCTGTTGACTGAGGTGGGGTGTTTCACCCTGTCCACCCACCAACCCTTGTTTCTGGGCTGTGATAGAAGCCCCCTCCCCAGGACTCCTGTGCCTGTGGTTGTATATGACTTTCAGTCTCTGTTGCTGTGTGGTGGGAGAGCCTGACTCTTGGGGCCTTCTTGGGGCTCACAACACTGAACTCAGAATCTCTAAAATATGCCTTCTGTACCTTTGAGGGTGTTAACTTACTCTGAACACTTGCTTTCAGCTTGATCTCTCAAATTGTACTCCAACCTCCATGTGTCACCAGTTTTACTTCTAAAACAGTGCTCTTGTGCACAAGTCTGTCTGTCTGTCTCTGTCTCTCTCTGTCTGTCTCTCTCTGTCTGTCTGTCTCTCTCTCTCTCTCTCTCTCTCTGCTCTCTTGTTCTCTGTCTCTTTTTCTCCTTCTCCCAAAATTTCTTTTCTGTTTTAGAGGAAAAAATAAAAAGACTCTAGCTACTTAGCAGACTGGAACACACTGAAGCGTCATTGGGCTTCTTGCCATCTAAGCACACCTGAATGTCATGAGTCAGACCCTTTACTAGTTTCCTAAACCCTAGATTGTTTGGCTCCTCTTCATGGCCTTTCTCTCCTGGCACCCTTAACACGACTTAGTCTCCCATGTTGGTGTCAGAAGTGGCTGAAGAGTGGTTGAGTCTGGCCAGCTGTCTGGCACAAATATTTGTTTGCTCAGTGAAAATGTGGGTGCAGGTAGACATGTACCTAATTACATGACAATGACCCCATTTTATACCATAAAAAAGAGACAGCAGGACCCAAGATTAGAGTTTTGTATCAAGTGGTTGATTCTGTATAATGACCTGTCAAAAGGTGTTCTTGAATTCTTCCTGGGATAATTGGTTTATTTCTTTTCTTTTTTTTTTTCCAAGACAGGGTTTCTCTGTGTAGCCCTGACTGTATTGGAACTCACTCTGTAGACCAGGCTGGCCTTGAACTCACAAAGATCACCTGCCTCTGCCTCCAGAGTGCTGGGATTAAAGTCATATGATACTACCACCATCACCTGCCCCAGCCTTTCGTACTCAGTTTCTGGTTCAAGAAACAAATAGACATAATTGTGATCTCTTTCCAGGCTTCAGCTCTGGCGGCATGGACTATGGCATGGTTGGCGGCAAGGAAGCTGGGACTGAGTCTCGATTCAAACAATGGACATCCATGATGGAAGGGCTGCCTTCTGTGGCCACACAAGAAGCCACCATGCACAAAAATGGTGAGAGAGCAGCATCATGTTACTAGCAGAATCTTCTGGTCCCTACTCAGGCCTTGACCAAGTATCCTGCATGTTTTAAGACTGGGTCTTTCTTTTTATCCAAGGCTGGCCTGAAACTCCCAGAAATCTTCCTGCCTCAGCCTCCACAGTGCTGCCATTAAAGGTATGTCCCACCACACTTTAAAGTCACTATCTCAGGCCAGCTTGGTGTGTACACTAGGGAGACCAAAGCAGGTGGATCCTGGTAAGTTTAAGTCAAGCAAGTTCTAGGCCAGCAGAAATTACATAAGACATTGTCAACAAACCCAAACCTTCTTTAGTTAAATAAATTAATATTGCAGTGTCTTTCTTGTAGCCCATACTGGGCTTAAACTCAAAAAATCCTGTTGCCTTAGAGTCCTATGTACTGGGATTACAATGTATACCACCATGCCTTCTTTTGTCATTTTTTATCTTTTTAACTCTTGTGTTTGCATATTTTGGCTGCATGTATATCTGTGCACCACATAGATGAAGTGTCCTTGGAAGGCAAGAGGGGCGTTGTACTGCTGGGAACTAGAATTAAAATGGTTGTAAGCCTCCAGGCAGTGGTGGTGCACATCTTTAATCCCAGCACTCAGGAGGCAGAGGCAGGCCGGTCTTGGTGAGTTTGAGGCCAGCCTGGTCTACAAAGTGAGTTCCAGGACAGTCCAGGGGCTATGCAGAGAAACCCTGTCTGGAGGGTGGGCATGGGAAGTGACTGTAAGCTACCATGTGGGTGCTGGGAATCAAAATCATATCCTATAGAAGAGAAGCCAGGGCTCTTTAACTACTAAACCATCTGTCTAACCCCCCCTTTTGTAATTTTTTTGAGCACAGATCTCTAACTTTTACTAATGAGTATATATATATATATATATATATATAATTTATTTATTGTGTATACAGTCTTCTGCCTGCATGTCAGCGGAGGGCACCAGATCTCATTCAAGGTGCTTGTGAGCCACCATGTGGTTGCTGGGAATTGAACTCAGAACCTCTGGAAGAACAGTCAGTGCTCTTAACCGCTGAGCCATCTCTCTAGCCCAATGAGTCTCTTGATATTCCAAAGTTTATGATCAGATCTATCAGAGAAAGAGTAGGCTTGCAGTTCACATTAGAGGGTATTTAAAGGGTTCTTGTTAAGGATGACATAATGTCTCATTTGCCATGGGATTGAGATTATAATTATGAATTTAGATACCCAGAACATTAAAACCCTGCTGGGCAGTGGTGACACATACCTTTAATCCCAGCACTTGGGAGGCAGAGGCAGGCAGATCTCTGAGTTCAAGAGCAGCCTGGTCTACAAGAACTAGTACCAGGACAGCCTCCAAAGTCACTGTGGAACCCTGTCTCGAAAAACCCGGAAAAAAAAAAAAAAGACTAAAACCCTATTAAATAAAACCAAAAAAAAAAAAAAAGCTCCCATGGCCGGGCGTTGGTGGTGCACGCCTTTAATCCCAGCACTTGGGAGGCAGAGGCAGGCGTATCTCTTTGAGTTCCAGGCCAGCCTGGTGTACAGAGCCAGTTCCAGGACAGCCTCCAAAACAATACAGAGAAACCCTGTCTCGAAAAAAAAAAAAAAGAGAAAAAAAAAACCCTATTAAATAAAGTAGCTGATAGAACAGAATCCTCTTGTTGAGGTGTTGGTTGGTTGGTTTGGTTTAGTTTTCTGAGACAGGGTCTCGCTAAAAATTTGTAGTCCATGCTAATCTCAAACTCCTGGCTTTGTGTTTTTTGAGAGATTGGAGATCAGTATCAGATTTTAAAAACCTCTGTCCTAAACTGGGTATAGTTGTGCATGCAAATTGAAGACCAACTTGAGCTATATAGTTCAAGGCTATACTGGGATGCATTGTGAAACCCTGTCTCAGAAAAAGAGAAAAGTCTCCCTAAACTCCAAAAGATGACTAGAATATGAACATTCATAAGGATTGTTTTTTTTCCCAGAGCCCCTTGTTATTTGTGAATTAGCCAGGACAGCATTGGAGTTGTATTTTGAGTGTGGATTAGCCTTGCTGTCCATAATTTTCTTTAAGGGTTTCTCTATTTTCCTAGAACAAAAAATAGAGGTCCGAACCTCCTTCAGCCTTTAATGCATTGTTTCATTTGTCAATATTTCCCTTGGATTCAGAGTTGTCTCTATGAGAGTCAATAAAAATAATATCTGGTTGTTCTTGCCTCAAATCCCTGGCAAACTCAGCCAGGCTAACTCATTCAGTCTGCAGCCTTTCAGGTTTCCATCCATTATAAACCCTCTTTAATAAGCCCATTATAAAGCATCTTTAGTAATCCCATCCAGAGACTGAAGAAGGAGCACCCAGAGCTCCCTGCCTACCCTACTAAGCATGATCAAAATCAAGAATAATTTACTGAAATTATAAATCTGTTTTATGGATTGAGTAACCCTAGTCCTGTGTCATCTGAAGCTCTGGGTACTTTCACAGCTCCCTTAAACTAATGATTTACCAGGTCTGAATAATATAAAATGGCATGTAAGAAGATGTCTCAGAGGTACAATATCCTCTCATTTCCTTAGCAACCCCCAAGATAATTGATCTTTTCATTTTCCATTACCTCACTGTGCTGTGCCTCTGAACCAGATTTCTGTAACTGTCCTCAGAAAAGTTAGTGTCCTCTTAGCAGAGAATGGAGACTATTTTAATGATATCCCTTTTAGTCCAAACCAAACAAATTGTTTTATTAAATATTTATATAACCATTTTAATACATTATTCTGCAAATCATTTTATGTGCTCATGATCACTACTCTAATCCTATGTCAAATGAACTTTATGTGGGAAATGAGGAAATAGTGTCCAGTAGGCTCCTGAATTTTTATTTAAAGTAAAAAATGTTATTATTGTTAACTTAAGGAATTTTAAGCTTTCAACTTTTCCTGCATGAAAATGCTTGAAGGAGACACTAACAAAGCCACAAGAATACTCCTGGGAACACAGTGACAAAGCGTTTGCTGTTCTCTGTGTGTGAGACAGCCCTGGGCTTAGAAATGTAGAGTTCAGTGCTGGCATGCTGGCAAAGACCTTGGGTGGGAATTCCACCTCAGTGACTTGAAATTTAAAGCAGTTGCTGATGGCTTTTTCTCCTCCAGTGGACTTTGCACATTGCAGATTCCAGAAACCCAGGCTCAGCCAGCCCTTAAGAGCAGGGATTAGAAAGCATCAATAGAAAGCTCACATAAAACTCTCCAAGGTGCTACATTTGTTCAGAGTTTTCCCATTGCTTACTTTTGAGTGATTAGTGTAGAAACCATGTAGACACTGTGCCTCATAGTATGTATGAGTCACTGACTTTATAACACCATGGGGCTTCCAGATGGAAAGGACTGTTCTAGAATGAGAGTATTCCTGTGAGCTTAGGTGAGAAATGGAGAGACTCAGAGAAGTAAGATGTGTCATTATGGTAATGCTGCTATTAGTGGTAGCCCAATGTTCTTTATTCCATGATCTTTAAAAACTTGTCTTTGAAGCCAAGCTTGGTGGTGCAAAGCCCTTAATCCCAGCACTCAGGAGGCAGAGGCAGGCAGGACTCTGAGTTGGAGGCCTGGTCTACAGAGTGAGTTCCAGGACAGTCAAAAACACACAGAGAAACCCTTGGAAGGAATGACCAAACAAACAAAAAAGTTGGGGGGGGGGTCTGCTTATTAGAGATCTTTTTTTATGTTTTTAAATTTCCTATTTATCTATGTGGATGCTTGGTCTGCTTTTATGTCTGTGCATCATTACATGCCTGTTCCCCACAGAGGGCATCCAAGGGCGTTAGATTCCATGGAACTGGAGTTAGAGACAGTTGTAAGCTGCACTGTGAGTGCTGGGAATCAAACCTAGGCCATCTGAAGAATAGCCAGTGGTCTTAACCTCAGAGCCATCTCTTTAGCCCCCTGGAGCTCTTTTTTTGTTTGTTTGTTTTGTTGTTATTGTTTGTTTTGTTTTTTGAGACAGGGTTTCTCTATATTGTTTTGGAGGCTGTTCTGGAACTCACGCTGTAGACCAGGCTGGCCTCGAACTCACAGAGATTCGCCTGCCTCTGCCTCCTAAGTGCTGGGATTAAAGGCATGCACCACCAATGCCTGGCTCCAGGAGCTCTTTCTTAAACAGTTAATTATTTCTCTCTTTTCTCAGGCGCTATAGTGGCCCCTAGTAAAACCCGAGGAGGGTCACCATACAACCAGTTTGATATAATCCCAGGTGACACGCTGGGTGGCCATACGGGTCCTGCTGGTGATAGCTGGTTACCTGCCAAATCTCCACCAACTAATAAAATCGGAAGTAAATCCAGCAATGCCAGTTGGCCTCCAGGTATTGTTCCTAAAATGCTTTTTCTAGAACAGTGCTTCTGTTACGTTTAGGTTCTGAACATGCTTGTACCACTTGCTTTACTGAGGAAGCCCCATGCTTTCTTTTCTGTATTAGTAGTTATTGTCCGATAAAGGCAAGGCATGCACTCCGAAATGTGTGCAATGGGAAAATAAAAGATATTCAAGAAATGGGGAGTTAAGAATAATAAGTGGCCTTGCAGCTGTGTATAGGATGCCTTATAACATGAACTCTTTAAAGTGTGTTTTGAATCGATTGACATATTCATTAGTCAGATATGTCATTTATATACCCCAGGTACATAGTGATGAGTTCAGTAAGATTCATATCTTTCTCTCTTGTACCCTCCTTCCTCTCCTCCCCTTTGTCTCTGTATTCTGTTTTTATTATGGAAAATTTAATAACACAAAAATACAAATTAGTATTGTCTTCTGTCTATATGTAATTCAGACATAAATGTATAATTACATTTTATTAGAGTGAAATGAAATAATGCCTATTGTTCATATATAATACATATTGCTATTCTCAGCACAATTAGGGAAATTTCAGTTTGTTAATACTATCACATAGCTTAAAGTATCGCTTCAATGGCTCCATAAAAACATGATAAGCTTTCATATATAGTCTAGGTTTTTTCACTATCTGTTAAATTGTTCCCCACTGTCCCTGAACAGTGAAGCAATGGTCGCATACATACATACATACATACATACATACATACATACATACATACATACATACACACATTTATTTATTTTGGTTTTTCGAGGCAGGGTTTCTCTGTGGCTTTGGAAACTGTCCTGGAGCTAGCTCTTGTAGACAGTGGCGTCAAACTCACAGAGGTCTACCTGCTTCTGCCTTCCGAGTGCTGGGATTAAAGGCGTGTGCCACCACCTCCAGGCATATTTCATTTTATTATGTGCATTTTGGCCAATATCTAATAAAAAAAATAGGAAAGGTCACTGTTCTCTCAAGCCCAGATGTTCTCCCAGCTCTTGGCCTCACTTCATTAGGCATGGGCTACTACTTTACCTGAAGACTTAAATTCCTCTAGTAGCTGGGAAATCATCTGTGGAGCCAGGCTTTGAACATGATACAGTTTTCTACCAGACAGGTGAATGGGCAGACAGTGAGCAGCAGACTTGCTATTGGCAAGAGCATTTATTCAGAGTAAATTTTTTATTTCATGATAAAAATCTGATGTTCAATAGATTCATTGTTTAGGCTTTTCACAGTCGTGTTTTTTTCTACTAAACAGTTATTTTAGCTTTATAATAATAATTAGAAGTCAGGCATAGTGGCCTTTACTTTAATTCTAACACTCAAGATCTCTGTGAGTTCTATGACAGCCTGGTCTGCAGAGTGAGTTATAAGACAGCGAGGGGAAAAATAGAAAATGATTAAGTTAAACTTTTTTTTTTAATGATCTCATTTCCCTAACATTTCTTCATGTCTCAGAATTCCAACCAGGAGTGCCATGGAAAGGTATCCAAAATATTGACCCTGAATCTGACCCCTATGTGACCCCAGGGAGTGTGCTGGGGGGTACAGCCACGTCTCCCATTGTGGATACTGACCACCAGCTGCTGCGGGATAACACCACAGGTGAGTGAGCTCTGTGTGCTCTGTTTGTAGTACCCGGTAATTTAAACACAACATGGAAGGAAGGCTGTTGCTTTCATTGTTGTTTTTATTGTTTGCTTGCACTTTGTTTTGCCTTCTATTTAGTTTCAAATAAAATGCTCACAAGATTTCCAGGGCTCTACTGACATTTGTCTCTAATATTTTATTCTTCATTTATCACCTCAAGGGTCTAATTCTTCCCTCAACACCTCGCTGCCTTCACCTGGTGCCTGGCCCTACAGTGCCTCTGACAACTCCTTTACCAACGTTCATAGCACTTCAGGTACTTGGTGGTGACTTTTCCCCTCTTGCTTGACAGTTGACTGTTTTCAATGGCATTTACTTCCTGAGGAGTGCCTGTAAAGGAGGTGAAGACCACAGGTCAACACAGATGGGGGCACAGCCTTCCTTTCCATTCGCCATCCACTCAGGGAGCTCCTAGTCTTACAGATACAGGGTAGGGCAAAGCCAGTGGGAATAAAATGTCATACAGCTGGGGGTATTCAGAGGGCACAGTTCATGACCTGAAAACCAAGTGCTTCTGTTAACCAGCCAGCCAAGAAATCAAGGGCCATAGGAAGAGACAGGTTAATCCCGATGAGCATTGAGGCAACCAGTGATAGCTTACGCTTCCCCCAAAATATGACTTAGAGACAAAATGAAAAATAGGTGGCCAGAGTCAAAAAGACTAACTTGCTAGTAATACCTGTTGAGTTCCTCATTATTTGTGTGGGGGGAAGGACTGTTTGGACTTTTGTCATTTATTTGTTTATTGAGACTTCATGAAAAATAGAAAACTAGTAGCAGCTGGAGAGATGGTTCAATGAGTAAAATGCTTGCTGTACAAGTATGGAAACCTGAGTTCAGTCCCCTGCACCCACATTTTAAAAAAAAATGAGGCAGGGCTGGAAAGAGGACTCACTGGTTCAGAGCACTGACTGCTCTTCCAGAGGACCCAGCTTCAATTCCCAGCACCCACATGACAGCTCACAACTGTAGCTCCAGTTCCAGGGGATCTTGTACCTTCACAGACATACATGCAGGAAAAACACAATGCTCATTTAAAAACAAAAACAGGCACAACTCAGCAAACCTTTAATTCCAGCAGTCAGGATGTGGAGACAGGTGTAGTTCCATAAGTTTGGGGCTAGCCTGGTCTACATAGCAAGTTCCAAGATAGCCATCCGTAGTGAAACCCTGTCTCAAAAAAAAAAAAAAAAAAACTGAGCTGTGGTACGTGTAACTAATCCCAGTGCTAGGGTTGCAAAGACAAGAAGATCCTAGGCTATGCTAGTAGCCCGTCTATCCAATTCAGTGTTCTACAGGTTAAGGGAGGTGTTATCTTAAAAAAAAGAAGGTGCGCAGTTGTATCACACCAACAGTGCAATAGTAATACTGTCCACTTGCTAAGTGTTCCTACAGGTATCATAGTACACTTTAGCATGAACTCCTTTTTGAATTTCTCCTACCCTCAATCGGTAGATAAACTGAGATGATTGTGAATGAATTCCTGCTGGCTGGCCTGAGTTAAGGTCCTGTGTACAAATACCAAACAAAAATATTGTTACATTTCTCTGTATCCTATTTGACAGGACTTCATTTACTTGTAAGCTGGCACAGTACTTACCACACAAACCAGATGACCAGGTCTGATTCCCAGATCCCACGATAGGAGAGAAGCTCCACATATGTACCATGTTGTTCACACATACACTCACATTCACACCTGTACATGTACACCATAATATAATAACAAAATCAATTTTTGTGTCTAATGCTTTCTTTTGTTTGACTGATTTGTTGTTGTTCTCTTGATACAGGGTTTCATGTAGCTCAGGCTCACATTCATTTCACTCCTCCTCTCACATGCTCTCATCATAGGGGTGTGCCCCAACTGGCTAAGGTTTTTGTTTTGTTTTTTGTTTGTTTTTGTTTTTTTGTTGTTGTTGGTGGTGGTGGTGGTGTTTTTTTGTTTTGGTTTTTTGAGACAGGGTTTCTCTGTATTGTTTTGGAGGCTGTCCTGGAACTCACTCTGTAAATCAGGCTGGCCTCGAACTCATAGAGATCCACCTGCCTCTGCCTCCTGAGTGTTGGGATTAAAGGCGTGTGCCACCAATGCCAGGCAAGAAGTTTTGAGAGATATCAGTTTCTTAGGTTGGTCTTCATTCCCTTGGGCTGAAGCAGTCCTGCCTCAGTCTCCTCAGCAGCTTGCCCACATAGGCAAGTGGCTACCTTTTCTGGCACTCAACTAGTTCTCTTGTTCCTATAAAAGCACAGATTTCAGGAATGATCTTCTTGCAGTTGGACATTGACCTGAGACTTCCCTAAGACTGAGCTTGCCTGTCTTCATAACTGTCTTTCCTCCCTAGCTCAGTCTCTTACTATTTTCCTCACCTTTCCTCTCTCCCTCATTCCCTGGACCCCAAGCCCTGTCTCTCGGGGAATATATTTGACAGTCGTAATTTTTATCTCCATTCCTCTTGGTCCATTCTAGTCTCACCCTAATTTGTGCTGAGTCTTTTGGAAACTTTGCTGCAGCTTACTTAGCCACAATGTGCCTGTGGCCTCTTACCTCTCAGCCTCTAGGAAATTGGAAAGGCCTTACACTCAGCCTGAGTTTTCATTTTCCTGCATCCGTGAGCACATCCCTTAATGTAAACCCTTCAGATCTATCTCTGTGGAGCCTCTTCCAGCAGCCTAATGCTTTCGGTTGTTCTGTTTTCCATCTAAATCAGAGACTCTGAAAGATAATTGTGATAGCCACAGTACTATCAGGTACCTTAAGCATAGTAAGCAGTAGTACTTTTAGATTTGTTTATCATATTGTGTGAATGTATGTGTCTACACATACATGCATACATACATACATACATACATACATACATACATACCACATATATGCCTAGTGATCACAGATGTCAAAAGAGGGCATGGGATCCTCTGGAGTTGCAATGGTTGTGAGCCACCTTGATGGAAATTGAACCCAGATCTTTGCAAGAGCAACAAGTGTTCCAAACCACTGAGCTATTGCTTCAGCCTTATTGATTATTTTTAAAATCAGTGTTGATGTCAAGGCACAATCAGTGCATTATTTTCTAGTTTTGTTTTTTATGGTAGTCAGTGAACATTTAGTGAGCACTCCAGTTCTGTTTGTGTTGACAGTCTAACCCTGTTAGCTTGACCTCCTTAGGAATACTTTCTCCATGAATTTATCTTCTCTTTTCAGTTGTATTTATCCAAGAAAGTAGTAGGAGATTAGTTAGTTGCCTTATTAAATCTTTGTCAGCTTAGAATCATTTTAAAATTTCATATTCATCATGCTCTAAGAATAATTGTTTCATACTGGTTCCCTCCCTCCTTTCTTTTTTTCCTGAGACAGTTTCTCTGTGTAACCCTGGCTATTCTGGAATTCACTCTGTAGACCAGGCTGGCTTTGAACTCACTGAGATCTGCCTGCCTCTGCCTCCCTAACACTAGGATTACAGGTGTGCGCCACCACTGCCCAACTCACACTGCTGTTCTTACAATATATGTTTCTTGCTACTTTTCGATGTTTTGAAACAGAGTTATAGAATATAAATATACATGTGTTTGTGTGCAGATAAAATTTGTGTCTATTTGTGGTCAAATGCCCATCTAACCTGATGCTTACCGACTTTTCTCTTCTCACAGCAAAGTTCCCTGATTACAAATCCACGTGGTCCCCAGATCCCATAGGACACAACCCCACTCATCTCTCCAACAAGATGTGGAAAAACCACATCTCCTCCAGGAACACTACACCGCTGCCCCGACCACCTCCTGGCCTGACCAACCCCAAACCGGCATCTCCCTGGAGCAGCACAGCACCCAGATCAGTCAGGGGGTGGGGAACACAGGACTCTCGGATTGCCTCGGGTGAGGAGGATCTGCCAAGCAAGAATGACTGTTTAGCACAATGGGGAGGCTGACCATGGAGGAGAGCATGGTTGTCTGGTAGAAGAAAGAACATCTTTTGGTTGAAATGTTGCAGTCAGTACGGATAAAGGGACCCAGAACCTCTCTAGGGCACATGAAGTAAAATGAGCAACTGTAGAGAGAGGACCATGGGAGGGAATACTGTCTCACAGAAAAAAAGCAAATGAATTCACTGGGATGAAGATCAGGGTAGGGGTGAGAGATAGAGCAGACAGACAGATAGACAGGCGTTCTGAATGAAAACCTCCCCCTTTTTTAGTCCCTTGAGAATGTTGGTGATTTGGGTGTTCTTTTTGTTGTTTTTTCTCACTCTTCCTCATCCTTTTTCTGTCGTTTGCAGCCTCTACCTGGAGTGATGGTGGCTCTGTCCGTCCTAGTTACTGGCTGGTTCTTCACAATCTCACTCCACAGGTAACTTTACTTTCCTGTGCTTTTCTAGATAAAGCTTGATTTTATTTATTTAAAAAGAGAGGAGCTGGGCATTGTGGCACACAGCTTTAGTCCCCAGTACTCAGGAGGCAGAGGCAGGTAGATGTCTGTGAGTTCAAGGCCAGGCTGGTCTACTGGTCTACATAGCAAGTTCTAAGGATATATGGGACTTTTATCTCCAAAAAAAGGGGGGGGAAACAGTGGAGGAGCTTGGCGGATATGAAAGCTCATTTATGGGATGACAGAAATGACTCTTCAGTTAAGAAAGCTTGCTGCTTATGCAGAGCACCCAAGTTTGATTCCCACCACCCACATCAGACACCTGTAACTCCAGATGTGGGAGGTCTGATACCCTCTTCTACCCTATAAAGAAAGCACATTCATTCTGTGGCCACTGCAGAGGTCCTGTCAACAGGATAGGTGCTGGCCCCTAGGCCTCACCCTCACCCTCCTAGTGCTAGAGATGAGCAGGTGCTATAAAACAGTGAGAATGAGGTTGTATGACCTACTGGTCAGAAAGTGTGTTGTATGGATATGCCGGTTGGATGATGTGTTTTAACCACATACAAAAACTTGTTACCAGAAGGGACTTGGAAGATGACTCAGTTGGTAAAATTCCACTTTGAAATTTCTTAGACCCTTTAGCATCCTAGTGTCTGATAGGATTCTCTATGGAGAAATATATCTCATTGTGGACTATTTGCCCAGTGAACCTATTTGTGGCAAGTAAATCACAAGACTCTTATTTCTAGGCACATTTGAGAAAAGCATTCTTTTTTTTTTTTTTTTTTGAGAAAGACATTCTTTACCCCGATGTCTGATCAACTCAGAAGCCACAATTTAAGACCAGGCATAGTTTATCAAAAATAAATAAATAAAATTCTCAGTTTATTCCCTTATCTAATAGTTGAGTAACTATAAAGTGGGAGGGGGGTACTGATACTGAGGATCAAACCCAGAACATCACACACAGTAAGCAGGTACTCTGTGTCTGACTACAGCCCCAAAATAAAAAATAAAGCATGATGATGGTCAAAACTATGTGTGCCTTATTATTTTTGTTAAAGAACTTATGCTGGGCAATAGTGGTGCATGCCTTTAATCCACCCACTTGTGAGGCAGATGCAAATGGTTCTCGAGGCCAGCCTGGTCTATGGAGTGAGTTCCAGGACAGCCAGAGTGGTTACACAGAGAAACCCTGCCTTGAAAAAACAAACAGGCAAAGAGTTTGTAACAGGTGTCCTACTTTGTAGTGGATATAATGTGGATAGGATGAGAGGCAATAAAAGGTACCCAGTTTTGAAAAGAGCTTGGGCATGCTAGCTAATCATTCTCTCCTTCTGTCCACTAACGAATAATAAGTATATATCATTACATACAAATATAAAATCAATGTAATATTGGCTGTTTATATCAGAAAGAATTGATTTCTTTAAATATTAGAGCTGCCTAGTAGATATACAAATGTCATTCCTAGTTTAAAGTTGTTAGTAGAGCAAAGTTGATACATGGGGCAGTTGACTTTCCATCATTAAAAGTGTGTTTAAAGGAAGTCTGTCTCCTGAAAAGCAATTTGTGCCATATACTGACATATTTATGATTATTTTCTATGAAGAGCTAACATGAACTGCTGGGTTTTATTTGCCCAGTGAACCTTCAGGCTGCCCACTGGTGCTGAAAATGGAACCTAGGACCTTATGTATGTTAGGCCATTGTCCCACCACATTACACAGCTTTTTAAGGCATTCCCAATTGTAACATTCCTTTTCCAATAAAGTGAACTGAAGTGTTGTAATTAAGGCTTAAATAAATATATTTAAGATCTTGTTGTAAAATTAATTCATAGAATAAATAGGTTTGTTCATATAACTCCTGTGTTGGGAAAATTAGCCATAATCCCTACAGTCCTTGGTCAAATGGACTCAGTCAAAAAGAAGGTGGAAGTAATAATATTGGAGTGAATTGTTTTTGGGCTAGGCCAATTTTAACTGTCAGTACTTTTCTTGTCTGTCTGTGTGAGATTATTTATTGAGGAGGCAGAAAGTGTTAGTAATGATGTTGATAACTTGGCATAGTATCTGTAATTCTCATTTCTACCTTTTGAGCTGTACATATCAGCACACACTTGTTTGTTGATCTCTTAAAAAAACAGGCTTATGTTTTTGGTACTTATGTTTTTATTTTTTGTTACTTTTATACAGAAACATCTTATTTACAAAATAGGAATAATGGGTCTTAGTGTCTTTCTTTAATTGTCTTAGAATTTACCTTTCCCATGCCTCCTCTACATCTTAGCTCACAAGTGTTGTTACCTCTTAGATTGATGGGTCAACCTTGAGAACGATCTGCATGCAGCATGGTCCACTGCTGACATTCCATCTGAATCTAACCCAGGGCACTGCCCTGATCCGGTACAGCACCAAACAGGAGGCAGCCAAGGCCCAGACTGCACTGCACATGTGAGTACTGCATCCTGTGGACATCCTGTGGACATCCTGTGGACACATGATGCACACAGGAGTGTTCTGGCCCTGAACAATATCAGACACGCACAAAAGAGCCTCAGTCATGTACATGCAAATGCAAAGGTGCCAGTCTTTCTACCTAACTCTGTTTGCATTGTCTAGTGTATGTCATAGGCTCATAATCAGAACTTCAAGTGTAAATAATTTGTATAGTGAATAAATTGTACCACAAACAAAACCAATGTTTATGAAAATGCAAAACATTCCAAATGCTATTATTTTTCATTCTAGAATCTAGCTGTTTACTGTGGTAGCATATAGATAAGAAATTTTGTTTGTTTTTTTGTTTGGTGTGGGTGGATGGGTTGGTGGGTGGGTGGGTTAGTGGGTTGGTTGGTTGGTTGGTTGGTTGGTTGATTGGTTGGTTGGTTGATTGGTTGGTTGATTTTGGTTTTCCTATACAGGGTTTCTCTGTGTAGCCCTGATTTTCCTGGAACTCATTCTGTAGACTAGGCTGACCTCAAAATCAGAGACCTACCTGCCTCTGCCTCCCTAGAGTACTGGGACTAAATGCGTGTGCCGCTACCGCCCAGCTTTGTTTGACGTCTTGAGACAGGGTTTCTCTCTGTGGCCCAGGACCATCCTGAACCTCACTGTGGAGCCCGAACTGGCCTTGAACTCATAGAGATCTGCTTTTCTGTCTCCCAAGTGCTGGGGTTAAAGTTGTGTGCCATCGCACCCAGCCCAAGAAGAAATTATGTAACAGGGTTTTGCATGAAGTGGACAGGAGTGGATCAGACTCTGACTATTCTCTTTCTCTAGTGGACAGAAAAGTGTTGACCCCATTGGGCCACAGACACCATGACAAAAATCCACTGAGAACACAAACAAGTGATAGTCAAGCCCCAGCAGCAAGTCCATCCCTTACAATGGAAATTGTGCTCTGGGTGTTGGCACTGCCTTGCCTGATATTAATGGGTATCTTTCTTTATCTCACATGGGGTTAAAAAAAAAATACCTGACATTCCTCTTGCTTTTGTAAGACTTGAAATTTTTTGAAAAAACTTTAGATCCACAGCAAGATTGAGAGGATGGGACAACTTCACATAATAACCCTGACCACTCCCTCAATAATACCTCTTCCCTTATCAACATCACTCACTAGAATGGTCCATTTGCTACAGTTTATGTGCATTCATTGGTAACTAATTCACCAAAGTCCACAGTTCACCTTAGGGTTAAGGTTACTTTCTGGGTCACTGTTGGTGGTTGATATCAACAAATATATGCTGGTAGACCCAATATCGCAACATTGTGTTGTTCAGGCTGGTGCCATTGTCCAAAGTATCCTCTGTGCTCTATAATATACTGGTAGATTCAGCATCACAGCATTGTGTTGTTCAGGCTGGTGCCATTGTCCAAAGCATTCTCTGTGCTCTGTATTCTCTGTGTCTCTCATCTCTGTCTCTGACACACACATGCACACCCCATACAGGTAGACTGGAAGTTGTTCTTGTCTCCAATACTGCATAAACCAAACATGATGGCACACACCTGTAAATTCACCACTTGGGAGGTAGAGGCAGAAAGTCAGCCTGGGCTGTGTGAGGCCACACCTCAATCAATCAATCAATCAATCAATCAATAAGCAAGCAAACATGCAGACACACAGTGGCAGAGGCTGGCAGCATCGAGCCCTCCTGTGCTCCTGATCTTCTAGGTCACATCGCTCTCTTCTTCCTCCAGGTGTGTGTTGGGAAACACTACCATCCTGGCCGAGTTTGCCACTGAAGATGAAGTCAGCCGCTTTCTGGCTCAAGCTCAGCCTCCTACACCTGCAGCAACCCCAAGCGCACCTGCCACAGGATGGCAGTCTCTGGAGACCAGCCAGAACCAGGCAGACCCCGTTGGACCTGCGCTGAACCTTTTCGGTGGGTCCACCGGGCTCGGGCAGTGGAGCAGCAGCGCTGGTGGCAGCAGTGGGGCCGATCTTGCTGGCACTTCCTTGTGGGGTCCCCCAAACTATTCTTCTAGCTTGTGGGGAGTCTCAACGGTGGAAGATCCCCACAGGATGGGCAGCCCTGCTCCTTTACTACCTGGTGACCTTCTGGGAGGAGGGTCGGATTCAATCTGAACTTAGAACTTTCAACTCTGACCTCGTGACCTTTTTTGGAACAGCAGCAGCACTAACTTGACCTTTTCGTTTTTTTTTTCAACTTGCAATAAATACATTTTTAAAAGGAAAAAAGAAAACGGAGAGAGAAAAAAGGTGGGTCATTGACAGACTGTCTGAGCACATAGTTGCCTCCCTTAAAACTTCAGTTTTTTCGTTTGGAATATGAATCCAAAAAGAGAACATATCACTCTTGAAATACTTGAATCATGAACGCCAACCTAGAAAGACAATGTGAAGCAAGTACACATACCATTTAAATTTAAACACAAAAAATTAAAAAAATTAGTTTCTAGTTTTTCACTTTTTTCATGTTATATGGAAGTTGTTGCTAAGAAACATATATACTGAAAAAAATAGCTTTTTAACTTTGTTTGCACTGGGTGTGTTTCCGTCCTTAGGTCTACCATGTTTGGGTGGGAGGGAAATTCAAAAGAATTGTTGGGGGAGGGGGGAGGGAAGACTTGACGGAGCCTCACTTTAAAAACAAAAACAAAAAAAAACTTAAAAAAAAAAGGAAAATTTTTGTGATTGGCTGGTTGATAAATACCAGTGTGTTCTGGCACATGTAACTGCCCAGGCATGCTTGTTCTGGTATGTGTGTGCACGTGTGTTCATGTGCATTTGTGTGCATCCTCCTCTATGTCTCTGTGTGCCTGCGTCCTGCCCTCCTCATCTCAGCCGACCCTGATTTCTCTGAAAGCTGCATTGCTGACAGTTCGCAGGCTGGCTGGCCGGCCATCTGCTTTTCATCTTTTACCTATGAGAACACAGGAGCACAGGAAGCTGCTGCAACTCAAGCCTCTTCGGGCTGCATTGAGACGAAGGGTGCTGTTCAGTGAGTAGAGCAGTCGCCGGGATATGAGGTTCCTCAGCTTTCTCTTGACCTAGTAGCAGAGCGGAGCACTGCCAAGGCCAGCAGTTGGGGCAGAGGTACCTCTTAGAGCACCTGCTGCTCACTTCTGTGCTGTGAAATGAGCTGTAAGTCCCAAACAGGCCTTTTTAAAAGCTACTTTGAATGGGAACAGAAAATTCAGTAATTTTTAAATCATGTGATGCTTCAAAAGCAGAAAAACTGTGTTCCCACTTTTATGTGATCAGGTGTGAGGATTTTTTAAAAAGGAATCAGGTAATGCAAACTGAATATTCTTATTGTTTATCATTATCATTTGAGGAAAACAGCAAATTGTGAGCAGCCTCCTGAAAGCATCGCAGCTACTCCCTCTGCTCCTCTCTCGCTGAGCATTACCTGTGCCAGGCCGTGGCGTGTTACAGCACCAGGCCATCACTGACAGAAACGTTTACTTAACGAATGTTCTTAAACCAGTGTGTACTTCAGGCTTCTCCCTTTGTTTCTCTGTGTTGTGTTTCCTGTGTATGTGGTTTTGCTTAGGCAGAAATAACTTAGCAAAGACTTAAGTATTGCACCTTGTTTTGGTTTTGACCTCTTTTTTCTTCCTTGTAATGTGGGGGGGGGGTTGTTTTGTTGTTGTTGTTGTTGTTGTTTGGTATTTAAAGACTTTTTTTAAAAAGCATCAATGTAGTAGTTCTCTGGGCCGAACAGGAGGCAATGTTTAATCCATAGTTATCAACAACATGTATGTACTATGTTGGAATCAAAATATATCAAACTGCTTATTGTGACGAGAGTGAAAGCAAACCTGAAGGGGAATCCTTACATACAAAATAGATGGGGGGAGGGGGTGGGGAGATGTGTGCGGGTAACATGCTAGCACTTGTGTGGATATCCCAGTCTGCAATGTACTGTTTGTTCAACATGAAGTGCCGACATTCTGTACCAGCAATTACCTGCCCATTCCAACCCCTGGTGGGAGCAGACCTCTGCTGTCCTCTGTGACTTGCTGCTATTGAGGACAAGGGAGTTTTTCTTTCTTTAGCATCTTCAGTGAAGGATACAACAATGCCTAATGTATTTGACTTTCAGCTTGTGTCTTTGTGTAGATGGGTATGGGGGGGTATGGATAGGAAAACGAAAAACAACAAAAAACAAACAAAACCAAAATTGCATGTAAGTGGCTTTGTGAGACAATGAGTGGGAAATTCTGTAGTCTTCTTGGCTTACCCCACTGAATATAACCCTGACTTCAGAAGAGGTTGACAGGCTTGGTTCCTGTGGGCACTTGTGCTTGCCAGTCTGGGAGCCCTTGGCAGGTGGGTGGGCAAATGAGTTTGAAGTTCTGCTTTGTTCCTGCAACACCTTGTTCACATGGACTCAGCCTTCCTCCTGCTCTCTGGTTTCCATCACCACCATCCCCCTCCCACCTCTGCCCTACAAAATGTCTCCTTCCAGCCCTGCTGACTCTCAGTGTTTGAGCAGAGCTGTGTTGTGGGTGGAGATGTCCAAGTGAAAGCAGCTTATATTCAGACATCTGCAGACTGAAGGCTAAATCTTAGTGTCTCCAGACTCCCAGGAGCCTACGGGGACTGTCCACTGCCGCTCTTGGTTCATAGCCTTGCCTGCCCTCTCTTCCTCTTTCCCCTCCTCCTCTTTCTGCCTGTTGGGTCCTTGACCTGCACTAAGGCTTAGTTGAGTTCCTTACGATACTACGGTGAAAGCCGGGTGCTAGAGCCCCTCTTGTTTACAAGACATAATGAGGGATTTGAAATACGTAAAAATAACACGAGAAGCTAAAATGTTCTTCCATCATAAGCTTAAAGGGAAAAAAAAACTAAAAAACTAAAAAAAAAGACCAAAAAGTGCATATATATATATATATATATACACATACATATATATATATATACACACACATATATATATACACATATAAATATATATTTTAGATGAAGACTAACTCTGGGAGCATTTAACAGTGTTTTTGTTTTTAACATTTATTTTCCTGCTTTAAAATTTGCAAGCATTCTCAGGAATTCTAGGGTAGGCAGCCAGTTTTTTGAAGATGGTTTATTTAAATGTATCTTATCCTAGATAGACAGCCGTTTCTTTCCCATTAGTAAACTTTTACAAGTTCCTGAAACTTCAAAAAGTTTAAATGATTTTTACTTACAAAAATGTAAAAAGAGAAGTCTCCAAATGTTGTTATCATACAGGGGAGTCACACATTTTAAGATACATAGAGATATTTTTTAAGAATTTAGCAGCAACAAGTAAATTCATTATCTTAACTGTGGGAGAAGGGTTAAGTTTTGTGAGCGCTGTCACGGCCTCCCTGAATGGGGTAGTGTTTGGTGTACATGAGTAGGATTGCCAGTACACTATAAGCTTCTGTGTAAGGCTGGGCTGACATCTCCCGTCATGTTTATGTCCTCAGATGCAACCCTTCTCCCTGTCTCTCTAGCCCCATCAAAAAAGAAAGGAATAAAGAAAGAAACAACAATTTAAGGAAAAGAATTGGCTCTAAACTGTTTAAGTAGTGTGGTTGTTGGATTGCTGAGAATCTATGTAAAGAGTTAGGAAATATTTTAAACAAATCTTAAATAGAAGCATTACTAAAGGAAAATTACCTATGGACTGTTCTGTTCATGAAGACTGTCTGTTTCACCTCCATCTGTTGCAGGAAGAGGAAACAGAAGAATCTAATAAGGAACAAGTGGTTTTGCTTTGTTTTAGCTCCCAGCTACTGTTGTGCTTGTTTTAAATGCTGTTTTGAAGATCTGCTGCTTACTGTCCCCATCCTGGGTGGTGGAGATGTGGAGTGTTTCCTTTCGATTTTGGTCATACCCAATTCTCCTTTTGTATTCCCTCCTGGGGCCAGAGGTCATGGCCACAGCTTCTTTCAAACTTTAAGCTTCCCAGTGGGAAAGAAACTCCAGCTCCACAGGTAAAGTGAGTGGGTGGGGTGGCTACCTGCATTCTCTGAAACCGCTTTCGTGCCTTCGCACATACACCCAGACATCCTGAGCAGGGGACAAGTGTGTATGTGCACGTGGTCCAACCACTCCACAGTTAGTAAGAAGCTTGCTTATAAAGGAAATCGGAGTGGTTCTGGACAGGCCCCAAAGGCAGTGGGCTAAATCAAAATAAACAAAAATTGAAGTTAAATACCTTTTTCTTTTTCTTGTTTTTTTTTTCTTGTTTTCTTTTGTCTGATAATGTGGGATGCCAAGTTCTTTCCTGTGTTGTGTGCCCTCCATAGGTGCTGACTTTTCCGTGTGTAGAAAGGTGACAGTTACAGTGATGGGGAAAGTATTTTTGTGCTGGGCCAGTGGAAGAAGGCTCCTGCTTCTCAACTTCTGTTTTCCTTGTCTTCTCCCTGCCCCTCCCCTTCTTCCATTTGTCACCTTTCTGGATGCTTTTGTTATTGATTGGCAATGACCCAAGAAGAGAGAATGTGGTGAGAAAGCCCTTCCCTTCCCGTGGTATTCTTTAGTAGGAACCCTGTCTACCAAGACATTAGGCAACTTCATTATGCATGGAAAAATTCAGTGAGCATACCCTTCCAGCACGTTCTGGCATATATACAGAGGCTTGCTAGTCACCACTGTACAGATTAGTTTGTGCTTGTAAGTGTGAGCTTTCTGTTTCATACTAGGTGTTCCTTGTGGGCTTTTTATTTGTTTTGTTTTGCTGTAAACAACTCCTATTTTTGTTTTTCCAGACAGTTTCTCTATATAGCCCTGGCTGTCCTGGATCTTGCTCTGTAGACCAGGCTGGCCTCTAACTCACAGAGATCTACCAGCCAGCTCTTTTAAATTCTTAATTAGTGGTAAGTAGACATATATATATATATCTATATATATACATATGTATGTATATATATGTATGTATATGTATATATCTCATGAGTATCACAGACTGGTTTCTGTCTGCCATATGAGTAGCCAAAAGAAAAGCACAAGTGGGGCAAAGAGCTGTCTTCCATCACTCGGGAGAACCTCTGCTGCTGAGACCCAGTGCCATGACCCCGTAGAAGGGTTGAGAAACACACAGGTCTCTGATATGCTGTTTAAAAAAAAAAAGAATAATCCATATAGCATCTCTTGGTCTCAGCCCTTAATCCTTGAACTTATTTCCCCTTTCCAACATTCATAGGAATGAATGTATAGCAGTATAGCAGTACTGGTCCACAAACAACAAAGATTCCAAACTGTATTCTACCCTGAGAGTCCCTGGTGAAACATGACCTGTGTATTGCCATTCAGTTAGTATCGCCAACAGGGGTATCGCAATGGCTTGTGTTCTAAGAATTTTCCCACTTCTGTTGTGAATGTAGCGTGTTCAAAATTGAATGTGATGTGAAAGAGGAGAAAGAAAGGGAAAAGAATTTCTGCAAAGAATTTGGAAGGGTTCCAGTAGTGTACCTACCAGAAACTGGACATTAACTTACTGCAAAGACTTCACTCCCTTCTTATAGTTTGGTGCTGGGGATGAAACCTAGGACTTTGCCATGCTAGGCAAGCACGCTCTATGCCTGAGCCACACAATTTCTCCAGCCCTACACTATCACTGTCATCCTTTTCTTAGAAGGGGTATGATTTTTGTAGGGTTAACAGCCAGATTCTATTTCGCCGACCTCAGATGCTGTGTACTTATTCTCTCATAATCTGCCATTTTGACTCTTAGTGTCTCTGTGCTGAGCAAATGTGTCCACCAAGCCTGCTTTCCAACCCAGTGTCCATAGGACATCTTAGCAAGCCTGCTTCCAATAGCCATCTCTAAGACTGAGGCACAGTTGAGTCTTTGTGTAGAGAAAGTCCAGTTCTTCCCTAGCCTCTGAGTTAAAATTTGGCATATTACTGCTTTGGATTGGCTTTTTTTGTCCTAACTATGAGGTCTTCAACTAGGAACAGAGACACATTCTTAGCTGTGAGTTTGATGTTTTGTTTTGTTTTCAAGAAACTTTATTCTGCAGGTGTTTTTGCCAGGTTTTGTCACAGTTCATGTCAGTGTATTGACTACACTTCTTAATGTCACTGCAAAGAGAAACCTTTTTCTTTGATCATGTCTGTCTTCTGTGAGTACAGCTAGGATTACTCTAGCCTTTGTGCAAGTGACTGTCCATCTTTAGATTCCAATGGCCATGCAGAGCCCCTTTGTTCTTTATCTACAAGGACAGGGCTACTGAAGACATCATCAGTCTTTAAGAAATCAAGAATGTCCCCCAAGTTTGTATGCTCCCCATAATAATGCCCTATAGCTTACAGCCAGTGCCAAAGATATGCTTTGTCAACAGAGATGGTTCCATTCTCAATCTTAAATTTGATAAAGGGGGTAGCCATACCACATTCTTTAGATTTGAAATTATCAACTCCAAGGATCTAAAAATATAGTAATAGTGAAAACTGATTATCGGTCCTGGCTTGGTGTTACACACCTTTAGTCCCAGCACTTTAGAGGCAGAGGCAAGTGGATTTCTGTGAGTTCTAAGCCAGCCTGGTCTACATAGCAAGAGAGCCTCTGTCTCATAAACCAAAACCTGAACATCAATCCTCGATAAACTGCCGACAGTACCCCACCACCACCAGTCCACACTGCCAAAGGCGGACAAGAACAAGAACAAGATACAAGATGATCAGAGAGGGGCACTAGTCACTGGAGTGCTAGGCTCTGCCAACTCAGCATCCACTCTGTCCCTCACGTGTATGGCCACCTGACTGAATCCTGAGTAGTCGGGAAGTATTTCCATCAATTAAATGGTTTTTAAGATAGTAGCAAAGTAGCTGGGCGTTGGTGGCGCACACCTTTAATCCCAGCACTTGGGAGGCAGAGGCAGGCGGATCTCTGTGAGTTCTAGATCAGCCTGGTCTACAAGAGTTAGTTCCAGGCCTCCAAAGCCACAGAGAAACCCTGTCTCAAAAACAACAACAACAAAAAATAATAGCAAAGTGACAGAAACTGCTGATGTTTGCCTCTTGGAGTTTAAATAGCTCTTTCTGGTCAGGTGCGCATGGATTTGTTTTCAACAAGAAGGGGCACATGCCAGGAAAAGGACCAGAGGCTCTGCAGAGCTGAGAATTGTTCCTCATGGTGACAGATTCCCCTTTCCATGGGAGGGGACAGGCCAGGTACACTTTTCATAAGCAAGAAATGTCCTGTTTTAAATAAAAAAGAAATAGCGTTTCCCTAGAGCGATATGTGCCTCTGCTTAGTTCTCACACTATGAGTAGTCAGTGCTTTGGAAATAAATTTCCAATTACATTTGACCTGTTTCTAGCCAGTACCAGTAAATTGGAATGACTTCTTCAAAAAGGGAAACCCTTCCTTCCTGTATTTCTCTCCCTTCTGACTTCCTGGACCCTCTTTCTGTTGGGTCATTCCCCACTGAGGGGGGGGAGCTGTGATGGGACTAAAGGCAGATGGTGCATCCTTACTTTATGTGACTTACAGCAGGAAAAGGTGACAGATGCTGAAAATGATGCCAAAAATGGGGGAGGGGGGGCTTTATGCAAAACAAACCCTTGGGAATCTTTCAAGAGATCACATACCTTGTAAAGGTAGGATGGTCACTCACCAAGTGATAGGTTTTAGCTTGAAACTTCTTTTTGCCATAAGTTTGGGATTATGTTACAATAGTTGTGTTTAAAACACTACCCCCTTTAAATCTTTTCCAAGGAATCTCTTAATTGTACTATTTCTGAATGTGCCTTTGTCAGTCCAGAGACCAACTGTGGTCTGTCAGAGTCTCCTGGCAGTCCCCAGATATCTGTTGGATTTTCATGAGCCCCCATTTTGCATAGTGTGGTTGTACTGAAGGGATTCTGGGTCTCCGGCTGGGAGGTTATGAGCAAAGCCCAGGTTAGTCCAATGCAGGTCATCTGTGTACATCTGTATTCTCTAGTTGCATGTTTGAGTGAATGTGTGTGTTTCTGTAAGCACTGGAGCAGTTGGGATGTGGTGATTTTGGTGACCTGTTCATGCATGTAGAGAAGGCATTTCTGGCTTTTTGCTGCAGAAGGTGGATTTTTCACCCTCTCTGCCTTAGGATGCCGTGGTCTTCCCAAATGCAAGTCACAGCAATGTTGCTACTTATGTGAACAGGGTATTTATTGCACGCAAAGAGAAAGGTTTTGAAAGAATCAAGACCAGTGTTTAAAAAAGAAAAAAAATCTCTAAAATCATATTGTAGTTCTTGAGAACTGTTGTAGTTAAACCTAGAAATCTATAGCCTCTTTTGTTTCATGTTTGTTTTCAACAACCCCACCTCTCCCACTCCCTATCTTCCACCATCCTCAGAGCTCCCCCACAGAGGAAAGCACTCTCCAAGGTTCCCTCCACTTCATTCAGGAAGACAAAGGGAGGCTTCACTCACTCCTGGTTGCCTTGGGATGTATTCTTATGCAAATGTGAATTTAACAAGAGGTTGTTGGGTTTGTTTTTGTGGGGTTTTTTGTTTTTTCAAACACAAAAAGGGTCCTTATGTGGTTATCCTTGCTCCATTTTGTAATCTGAGTTTGTAACTATGCATTTTCTGAAAAGGGGGAAGAGGGAAAAGAAGTCAGTTTGCATTTTTATGTTTTCCAGTTTCTGTGTCCATGGTATCCCCATGTCTGAGAAGGGAAGAGGAGGGGACTCTCACCAGGTCAGCATAGTGAGGGCAAAAGGGCCCTCCCAGACCCCGCCCTCTGGCAGGTCTAATTGCGAAGCAAATTCTGGGGGGATCTGCCATGTCTGTCCATCATTATGGTGCAGGATTCTTGATACTGGCCATGCAGTGTTAACCCAGGGCAGCCATGGAAAGTTAAAGGCTCCAGTATTCTCTGAACTCAGAACCCTTTCAAGCTCAGGAAACCATGCCACACTCTGCTGACCTGAGAGTTCATCCTTACATCATTTTGAAAACTCCTCTCTCACGTTTCTTTGTTGTCAATCATTGTAAAGGGAACCATTCCTAAGAGCTGAGAAAGAGGGCTGTTGCCTGCTGCTGATTGACAAGCAAAAAAAAAAAAAAAAAGGCTTTCCTTCCCTGTCTGCTATCTCTGATCCCTGCTTCCCTCACCTGTACTGAGCTGCTGTGCAGTGAGGTGTGGAGCACTGGAAGGCCTTTGTACTTCCCCCACAATTCCTTTGTCGAGTGGGACTGTGGTAAATCATGGCACCTGCATTACCCTGGTCTAGGCATTATTACAGCACACAGTATGAGAAGTGAGAGGCGTTCAGCCTGTATCCAGTGTTTCCACACAGCAGTCTCTGTTATGTTCACAGTACTGTAATGGGTGACAGACTTGATCACAGTCTTTTTGTGTCTGTGCGAGGTTGCACAGGCATGATCTTATCAGGGTTCCAAATCTGCTCAATTGCCTTTAAACAAAGCAAAACAACAAGAAAATCCTGATGTTTCAAGTGTCTGATGCAAAACGATACCTCAAGGTACATTTGCCCTGCAATGTAAACCCTTCACTCCTCCTTTCTTAACATCAGTGAGCTATTCTTTTTTTGTTTTGTTTTTCAAGGTAGGGTTTCTCTGTGGCTTTGGAGGTTGTCCTGGAACTAGCTCTTGTAGACCAGGCTGGTCTCGAACTCACAGAGATCCGCCTGCCTCTGCCTCCCAAGTGCTGGGATTAAAGGCATGCGCCACCACCAACCGTCGAGCTATTCTTTATAAAATAAGGATGTGTAAATAACCGGATAAGTCTTTGAAACATTTTCTTTGCTGTGAAAATAACCCTAAAATATGATACTTGCATTTTAAGCCGTCAGAAGTTTCAGATCTGAATTATTTGCATGTTAAAGAAGAAAAAGCAAGATAGGTCAGTGGGGGTAGCTTTGGGTTTATGGGATGGCTGCTTTCTCCCAGTGTTCCTCCTCCCCACAGCACAGGACAGCAGACCACTGGCTATACATGCCCTAACTAGGTGCCATCTATTCTAGCACCAAGGTCCCAGGGTAGGGAGTGTCTGAATTTCTCTCTTCCATATATGTTCCATCCCCTCCAGGAACTTCAGAAGGTTTTGTACCCAGCACTTGAGTTCTTTGCCCATTTTTGTTCACATGCCCACACTTCTTTCCCTTTAGTGTGGTTCTTAAGTTCCCCAGTGGAGCTCAGTCCCTGGTATTGCAGTCTATCCTGTGGCTTTTTCAGCAATGCTCTGGAAGTACATTTCTTACTTAGAAGGAAACTCAGCTAAAACCCTGTGCATCCTCAGAGCTTCCTCCATGCTGCTTAAAGCTGACATTCTTAGAGGAAACACGTTGATACATGCTGCTTGTGAGGGCATTGACAGCTGCTGCCCTCCTAGACTTGGGCTCCCTTGAGACAAGGTTAGAAGACTCCCTTTTTTATCCCACTTTAACTCAAACCCTATCTGTCAAGCTCTTTAAGTGCTCTCCCTGATCTTGTTCACTGACGACTTCCTTTGAGGGAAGAATCTTGATGAAAGTGCATGGGCATCCCCTACCCATCTTCTGACTGGCACTGTCCACTTGGATTTTACTTCTGTAGTTTGTCTGGAGGCCCTTGCCTATCAGTGTGCTTCCTCTCATCGCTAGGGTTCCGCCTGCCCTTGTTTTCCTCTCTGATGTTCCCAAAGGGCTTCGCTGATGTCTGCACCTCTTTCCTGGGATGTCCCCTTCCTCCACCCTTTGCACACACCAGTGACCAAAGTGTATGCAGTGGTTTCAACACAAGACATCAAAATGGTGCAGGCACCTCTAGTGTGCTCACAGACATGTGCACAAGATTCTGCACCCTTGGCCTTAATTTCAGCACGACTTAAGGTGCAGGAACATTTTTAACAGGTTTAAAAAAAAATCTCTTCTGGGAGGGAAAATAAAGCAGATCCAACTACTCAACCATGCCCACTCCCCAACTCCCCACCATCTGTTTACTTCTCATTCTGCATCCAGCCCTGTTCTGAGCAACCAAAACCAATAACAAAAGCAACCTGAGGAGAGGTTTCTGGACTGTTTTATCTTTCTCCCTTTCGATGGAGATACAAATGCTGCTTTGGGTTCTGTAATCCTAGGGGGCTATGTTTACATAGTGAAATTCATTCTACCAAATCAGGAAACAGTGAGTGGGAGGCCCTTCAGCAAGCGGTCACTGAGGCTGAACCAGAGGTGAGAGGACCTGGGGAAGTGGTAGAGGAGGAGAGAGATCCTATTTAACTCATTGTGACACCCTGTTCACTTCCTCCTCTCTGCTCTCAATGGCCCTCTTTGCCCCTTTAATCAAAAAGGTTCAGAGAAAGGCACCAGAAGGAAGCTGAAGTTTTAAGAGGCAGCTTTCCAACTTTGCACACAAACAGAAGGTACCGCAAAAATCCTCTCATCTGAAACACTCAGCAGAAACAACCTGTCAAAAGGACTAAATCGCTGCATATGTTGATGCTCTCTGCAAGTTACCTACAAGTGTTTTGTTTTCTTATACTTGAAATCGCTTTTACGATATTATTTTGGTGACTTTCTTTTCTCTCTTCCGATGGGCAGTAGAAAATGCAGGTGATAGTTTTACGGATGTGAGGGGAGAAAAGGATGTGGCATTGTCTTTTTAACCTAGAGGTCCAGTCAGACTCCCATATGGCAAAGTTGCTCATCTTACTGGTTTAACATGGACACAGAAACTAGGCACTTTGGTGGTTCACTTGCACGGCAGGCCAGCCCCCTTTCTATATTTTATTTTACTTTTTTAGTATAGTGGTACTTAAAATCACTGGTTCACTTAAAAAAAATGTTAAACTCTACTAATGTACAAATAAGCTGAAAAGTTGCATTTTATGTGTATTTTTTGCCATAGCAGGTACTGTATTTCTCATGCTGGATTTCAAAGTGTATATATATATATCTATATACATATGTATGTGTGTGTGTATATATATATATATATATATATCAAAAACAAACAAACTGAAGGGTGGTGTTTTACCGGGTTATGACAGGTTGAGTAATAAGGAATAAAGTCGTAGTCATTTCATTAAAACTGAGAGATGATGTAACGCATATAGAAAAGTTTTCTGAAGGGTTTTTTTGGGGGGGCTTTTAAACAGCTTATTTTGTTTTTGTTTAGTTTTTATTTTATTTTATTTTGAAAAGATATGATTGTATTATGTGCAACTCAGTTGCTTACATTATAACTACAAAAATATTTTTGAGTTCCTGGAAAAAAAAAGAAAAAAGACTAATAAATGTGTTTGGCTGCTAAGCATTTACTATTGTGGTTTCTGGATTTATTCTGTTTAATTTGCACTGACTCCTTCAATACACACACACACACACACATCTTTTCCCTCCCATCCCTTCTGGTCCACACAAAAGCATGCCAGAAGTTCTACATTTGAGTTTGAGCCTTCTTCTAAACTAGTCTGGTCAGTCTGTTTCTGCTGTTTGCTACCTGTCATGGAGTTGGTGTTACCTGCCATGGTGCACTGAGGGTCATCTTTTGCTATTGCCTGGTGTCTTGTTGAGTCCTTGTTTATTTATGTTTGCCCTAACTCTGGGGTAGAAGAGGAGAGAAGATGTCTCTCTGCTGCTGTTAGCTGCTAGAAAGGGAACTGAGCTCTCTCAGACAGCAGCAAACTCTTCAGAAACACCATGCTTGACACTGTCTAGTGGCTGTGTGGCATTACATGAAGCCCAATGGAGTTCTGCGCTGTTCGGAGCATGCCACATACGTGCACCCATTTAATGGACACTCACCTCTGCTGCTGGTAAAACCCACGGTGGTCAGAAGTCATTTGAGCACTTAAGTGGGGTGGGATCCACCCAGCTGTAAAGTCCATGCTTTGTATGTGCAAGGCAGAGTTCAAAACCTAGCACCACAAGAAAGCTCAGAAGGACCAATGCTTAAAAGCACTTGGAATCATCTTACATACCATCCAGTTCATTCTTCATAAAGATTGTAAACACTGGCCAGGTATTGTGACTTACACCTTAATCAGAAAGAAAAAGAAAAAAGCCTTCGGATGTAGCTCAGTGATAGTGTATTAGATCCCGACTTTAATCCCAGCTTTCAAAACAGAAGAACAAGTTTATAAACACTGGGACATGTTTATAAACAAGCCCACATCTTGTTTAGGTTTTAGTTTGACAAATAGAAATTGGAAAAAAACAAAAACATGAAAATCTTCATTGCCAAAGACTTTTAAATTTCAACCAGCAGGGTGAATGTGCAAATTGTAATCCTGGGTCTTAGGAGTTAGAGACAGAAGGACCAGTTGTTCAGGGTCTTTCTTGACTATACAACAAGTTTGAGCACGCCTAGGCTATGTGACAGCCTCCTTTCTCACATGCCCACAAAGAAGACCCATCATGTCTTAGGGCATCACCACTCCTTCCTCCTGCCTCCCAGCTATATACCGGAAACTTGTTCCCAGGATCCCAGCTGTGCTTTGACCATGGCATTGCTTCCTGTCCTTCTGGCTCTTCTTCTCTGATGATGTCCTTTGCAGAAGTTACATTCCATAATGTCAGGAGAATGCTGTTTAATGCCCATGAGCTCCACTGCCCCTCTTTTCCTGACATTAAGCAGTTTCTGGTGGGAAAAGGAGGCAAATATGTAACCTATAAATGCACACTTAACTTCCTGCCACGAGACCTGGACACTTCTCAACTTCCTGAGTTTCTCTGATCTGTTCATTTTGCCACTGTACTCCCAATGACTGACCTTTGCCAAGTCCCAGCTTCTCAGGAGGTTGAGGCAGGAGGATTCCTTGAGCCCAGGAGATAGACACTAGCTTGGGCAACACAGCAAGAATATCTTCCTCTCTTTGTTTTTTTGTTTGTTTGTTTGTTTGTTTTGTTTTTTAAGACAGGACCTCACGGGCTGGAGAGATGGCTCAGTGGTTAAGAGCAGTGTTTGCTCTTCCCAAAAAAGTCCTGATTTCAATTCCTGGCAGTCACACGGCGGCTCACAAACATCCGTATTGGGATCTGGTGCCCTCTTATACCTGCAGAGATACATGCAGACAGAACACTGTTTACATAAATAAGTGTAAAAAAAAAAAAAGACTGGACCTAGTCAGGCAGCCAGACTAGCCTGAAATGCCTTATGTATCCCAGGCTAGCTTCAAACACTTGGGTCCTCCTGTCTCAGCCTCTTATGTGCTGGGATCACAGGTATAAACCACCACACCTGGTTTTACCACTGCATTAGCCCAACTGATTTTTCATATCCAGTCCCCTATACCCTTCTAGTTTATATGTAACTGGATATATTTCACAGTATAAATATGATAAAGCCAGCCGGGTGTTGGTGGCGCACGCCTTTAATCCCAGCACTTGGGAGGCAGAGACAGGTGGATCTCTGTGAGTTCGAGACCAGCCTGGTCTATAAGAACTAGTTCCAGGACAGCCTCCAAAGCCACAGAGAAACCCTGTCTCGAAAACCAAAAAAAAAAAAAAAAAAAAAAAATGATAAAGCCACATTCCCACCTTTAGTGACATACTAGTAGAATAACACCTGTGCTATCCTTATTTCTAAGAAGATTTTCACATGGCTTCCAAGTACCTGTACCCCGCCCCCAGACTCACTACCTGCCCTCTCTTATACTCCAGCCTGATTACATCCCGCTGTTGAATTACAAGGCCTCCCCTTTGTATAGAGCCTATGGATGATCCTCATGTGTAATAGCATGCTAAAGCCAGAAAACAGCCTGTGGTGACCACCCACACTTGTAATCCCACCACAGTAATAAACCTGCCTGAGGCTGAGAAGCAGAAGGACCCCCTCAGGCTTGAAGCCAGCCAGGACTAAAGGTAAGACCCTATCTCAAACATACAAAAAAGTGTTTGTTTACATTTTTGTTACATGTATGCATTTGGGTTGGAGATGTCAAAAGACCATTTTCAGGACTGTTCTCTCCACCATGTAGGCTCTCGAACCTGAGACTTAGTTATCAGAAAGCCCCTTCAACCACTGAGCCATCTCTCTGGCCCCAAGGTTTTTATTTTATTTTACTTTATTTTTTGCTGGTTTGTTTTTTGAGAACAACGCTGAAAAACAGGACCTTAGGTGGGAAAAATATAAGCCAGAGATGCAGATCAGTGATTAGATGCCTGCCTACTACATACAGGGCCTAGACTGAGGTCTAGTGAAGGAGGAAGCAGTTATAAACACAGCTGCAGATGTAGGTACTAGTAGCTCACTCTTGTAACCATAGCAGTAGGGAAGTGGGGGCATTAGGATAGAGGCTAAAGGTCATCCTTGGCTGTGCAACAAGTTTGAGGCCAGACTAGGCTACATGAGATCCTATCTTAATGAAAAACAAGAATAAAAATGGGACGGAGAGATGGTTCAAGGGTTAGAAGCACTGGCTGCTCTTACAGAGGACCTGAGTTCAATTCCCAGCACCCACATGATGGTTCACAACTGTCCCTAACTCCTCTTGCAGGGGACACAGTGCCCTCTTATGTTTTTTGTTTTTTTTTTTAATATTTCATTTATTTATTGTGTATACAGTGTATGCATGCCAGCAGAGGGCACCAGATCTCATTCAAGGTGGTTGTGAGCCACCATGTGGTTGCTGGGAATTGAACTCAGGACCTCTGGAAGAACAGTCAGTGCTCTTAACCTCTGAGCCATCTCTCCAGCCCCAGTGCCCTCTTTTGACCTCTGTAGGCATCAGGCCTGCACATGATGCATATACATACATGCAAGCAAAACACACATTAAAAAATGAATAAATCTAATTTAAAAATGTTGAAGACTTGGTCTTTGAATTAGACCACAAGAAAGGAGGAGGGAGTAAAACTCCCTGGCATGCAGAGATAGCTTAACAATTAAGAACACTGGCAGCTTGCAGGGTGGTGGTGGTGCACACCTTTAATCCCAGCACTCAGGAGACAGAGGCAGGTGGATCTCTGCAAGTTCAAGGCCAGTGTGGTCTACAAAGCAAGTTCCAGGGCAGCCAGGGATGTTACACAGAGAAGTTGTCTAAAAACAAAAAGCAAAAAAAACCCACTGCTCTTCCAGAGGGCCTGAATCTATTGACAGCACCCACTGGTGGCTCACATTGTCTTCTGGCCTCCTTAAGCACAGTGTGTATGTAGTATGTGGTACACAGACTTACATGCATAAGACCCATACACAGGCAGTGGTGGCGGCTCACACTTTTAGTCCCAGCACTAGGGAGGCAGAGGCTGGCAGACCTCTGTGAGTTCGAAGCCAGCTTGGTCTACAGAGTTCCAGGACAGTCAGAACAGAGAAACCCTGTCTCAAGAAAAAAAAAAAAAGACTGAAGAAGATAGGAAGAGGGAGGAACAGAAATTACAATGCAATGCTAGAAAAGCAGAAGGGAAAGACAAATTGGTTGAGCTCATTGTCCCAGGTAGAGAGCCATCATCTCTTGTCTTCCTGACTCACTGTGCCCTGGCGAACATCCACCATATTTTTCTGGTGAAAGTCCTAAATGCCAAAAGATTTAAATAACTCGCCCAAGGGACAGGGCCAAAAAGTAAGGAAATGCTGGGAATGGTTAGTGAGGAGACAGCCAGGAAGCAGGGCGCTCCACACTAAACAGACCCTGAGGCAGCTCTTGATGTTTAGCGCACACACACACACACACACACACACACACACACACACACACACACACACACAGAAAAAAAGGGGGGCACTGGAGAGATGGCTCAGTGGCTAGGAGCACTGGCTGCTCTTCCAAAGGACCCCAGCCCACAACTGTCTATAGCTCCAATTCCGGGGGTTCTGGTGACTTCACTGGCATACATGCAGTAAGCCACCAATGCAAATAAAAACAAAAACATTAAAGAAAACAGCAGCTAAGCATTGGACCACCTCCAGGAGTCCTGTTGAAGAGAGAGAGGAAGGATTGTATGAGCCGGAGAAGTCAGGGTCATGACAGGACCCACAGAGACAGCTGACCTGAGCTTGCTGGAGCTTTCCTGACTCTGTAGACCGCTAAGGAGCCTGCATGGGGCCAACCTAGGCCCTCTGCATGTGTGTGACAGTTGTGTAGCTTGGTCTGTTTGTGGGGTTCCTAGCAGTGGGGTCAGGACCTGTCCAGGGTGAGCTGGCTTTTGGGAACCCATTCCCCATGCTGGGTTGTCTCTCCCAACCTTGATGCAGGGGGAGGAGCTTGGTACTGCCTCAACTTGATGTGACATGGCCTGCCCCTTTCTGAATAGAGATTGCAATTGGATAGGTGTGTGTGGGGGGATGTAGAAGGGAGGTTGGGGGAGAGAAAGGAG